TTTTGAGAGTGAAGCCGGTATAAGGAGATGGTGAAAAAGAGAAGATGGGGAGAGGATAAGAACGATGCTGGCCGGAAGCAAGATAAATGTTGAAAGGGGCTTGTGAGATCTATCCGTCTTTCATCTGCTCAGTAGGTGTGAGGCCTGCAGACTAAACTTTCATTTATTTGTAATGAAGAAATCCTATTGGCTCTCTTTATTTTGAACTATCTTTTTGTTTATTACTTATTTGTCTTGCTTTATTGCCCTGGTTGTTGATGCAGAGCCTCCTGCAGCAGCAGCCTGAGAGCAGAGTGTGTGTACAGGTCCACACTTGTTCAATTGGAAAGCCAGACTCAGGAAGTTGTTCATTGCAGAGGATCTGAGAAGTTAAGTGTGAGGCTTCCAGCAGGGACACTTTCTCCTCTTAAGAGAAAGGCTGCTGGGTGAAGTGGAGCGTGTGGGGTTAGAGGAGGGAGGAATAAAACCACAGGTTGAGAGAAGTAGGATTACTATATTTCTCAGCAAGGAAAATAAAAGTGTACGCTGTCAAAGCTTTGGAAAATCATAGAAAGCCGTGTTTTGAAGTTTAGGAAAAACCTTGATTCTGCCTAAATTATTTTGTATTCATATGAGGAAAACAGAGAGAGAAATCGAGAGGCGAGATTCTCTCATATGAATACAAAACAGTGGAGCTGCAATCAAGACTCCTGTGGGGAGTCTTCAGTGTACTGTATGTGTGCATGAAAACGATAAATAAGTAAGTATGTGAGGGGGTGTATTGATGTGTAGAACAGAGATGTCGACGAAACTTCAAACTGCCTGCTTTTCACCACTAATTGAGAATGTGTGTATAAAGCCTATCGCATGTTCGGAGCTAACCTCATCAATATGTGTGGCTTCTGTGGGCCTGTCCCTGTGGGTTCATCCATCAGGGAGACACATCCATGTGAAGACACCAAGCACAGCAGACAGATCAGCTAACACATGGGGGTTTTGTGTCGACACTTGAACCGTCTTGTCCAGTTCTTGTACGGCAAAGGCACATGATGTAATGCCGTGTAAGCCATTCAGATAAAAGGACATTCACTATTATCTTTAGGCAGGAAAAGGGGGAAATTGGAAAGTGAATCAGTGAGATTAAAGTAGAGGTTAAAGAACACGCACACACTCACACATTTGCACCATCCATTTTCCACATTCATTCCTTATCACTCTACTCTGTCCCTAGCCATCACCATCATCTAAGAAATGTCTCTAACCTGAACCTAATTCAAAAAGACAAAAATCCAAGTTTGTATTCTCAACATTTTCAACTTCACTTTTTCTAAAAATCGCTATTTTCATTGGTCCAAAAACAAATGCACAAAAACAAACACACGAAATACATTATATAACATTGTCTTTTGGGGTGAGCAAACCCAGTAAAATATATGTGCATATTTATGTAAGACTGAAGGCAAAATGTATGTGATGGAGCATGACAGATGTGGGCTGCATTGCATTGGAAAAGTGCTACAGTATGTGTGGCTCCTAAGGCTGATCCACCTTAAAAAAGTGTCCGTAAGCGATGTTGTTGCTGTCAATGCTAGCTTTCGGGAGCTGCTTCATTTTACACGCAGGTGGTCTTGACAAAGAAGCATGTTTTCACCGACAAATAAAATGTAGACACACTGCACCACAAGTTCACACACACACACCTACACACACACACACACACACACACACACACACACACACACACACACACACACACACACACACACACACACACACACACACACACACACACACACACACACACACACACACACACACACACACACACACACACACACACACACACACACACACACACACACACACACACACACACACACACACACACACACACACACACACACACACACACACACACACACACACACACACACACACACACACACACACACACACACACACACTTTCTCCCTTGACGTTCCATGGACTGAACGGAGGGGATTTTTTCGGGGGGTTGTGGCAAATTGGTAGTTTAATAAAATAAAATAATACTAATTCGCCATCTATCTCTCTTTTTGTCTAGTTCTCTTAACCTCCCTCATTAGTGTTGAACAAACAACCCGGGCACTGAGTTATAACTTTAGAAAAATATCTTTAAAATATATTTATAAAAAGCGCTTGAACCTGTGGGCATGTAGTGTAGCCTACCTCCCTCCTTTGATCTTTGTAGCATTAACCACTGACTGTTCTATCGCTGAAATGGCTCATTACCTCCCTTATCCTCTCGATTGCTTTTTTATTGTCATTATATCTTTATGTCTGTATTCCTCTCTCTGCCTCCCACCTATATTTTCCGTATCCATCCATAACTCCCGGCAAACCAGTTGTGGGCTTTTCAGATGTCACTCGGCATATCTCCTGGTTAGTCACAAACTCGCAGCGGTTTAATTTGTATGCTACCTTCGGCTGCAACATTTGATACAGGGAATCCCCGGGCTAATGCATTGCAAATTCGTCTCAATAATAAATTGCGTGGGTAGGATCAAAGGCATGGATACAGAGCATAGTACCTTGCAGAGGAATGCTGGGGACCCAGAGGTGCTGAAGGCATTAATGAACCAAAACTAGCAATCAGGAGGGACCGAGGAATGTCAGATGTGCTAGCTATGGGATGGCACTCACACACAAATAGATCCATGCAGAAAAATCACACATTTATAGAAACGACATGGCAAAGTGAAGAAAATAAAGTATACTGTGCTATCTGATAGTATTATGTAGATGTGTTTTTCATATTGGATTTAACATAAAACATGTGCTAGAGCTAGAATGAGTTAGTGTTGGAGGGTGTTGAGTTAAAAGGCTTGCATGATATTACCAGGGCAGATATACAATTCTGCTGCAGTCTGTTAAAAGTTATTGAATATGATCACTATCATGTACGTTTATTATGAATGACTTCCTATCCCCTAACATTGGCAAATTATTATTTATAGAATGTTTATAAAAAGTGCCGGGATTCATAAATGTGATACATGCACCACTAGGATGGTCAAGTGATTATTTACGAGAAGTTAATTCAATTTATGAGAAGAGAGATGATATCCCTCCTACTTGAACCATCTATTGTGCTCATCGCCTCCTCACATGCTCCTTCATGTACACGTGCATTTATGGATTAATCAGTATCCTCCTTCACAGCACTGTTCCGACATGTACATAGGCTTACACACTGATTTCATTAGTTTACAGCTCTGCTTTATGACAGTGCATGAACACCATTGATATTCCAAACACGTCCAACACACTAGCTCCATGTTTGTGGCTTAATGGCCGACCATTTCGATGCTGTCAAAACATGGGAGTTATCATAGACATGCTGATTTATGACTGACACATGTCTGCTGTCCTGAGTAGCTTAATGGACGGAGAATGACACATAGGGGGTTAAAATGTCCATTTTCCACAAGGACAAAGTATTGTTAAAATGTATCCTACAGTATGTACTTGATATCTATCTATCTATATGTTTATCATTTTACATATGAGGGCGGTGGTGGCGAAGTCGATAGGGACTTGGCTTGGCAACTGGAAGGTCACCAGTTCAAGTCCCGGCAAGACCAAGTGCTACCGAGGTGTCCCTGAGCAAGGCACCGTTCCCTACACTGCTCCCTGGGCGCTGTTCAAAATGGCAGCACACTGCTCCTAACACTAGGATGGGTCAAATGCAGAGAAACAATTTCCCCACGGGGATTAATAAAAAGTATATCCATCTATCTATCTATCAAAAATATTGAATTGCTTGCACACTGGACAAAAAAAATTGTCACTGGCTGAAAAGACTATATTTTTGAATGGTCTTTCATGCTTTTAGGTTGTAAACATTTGCAAACAATGTCATATTTTGTACATGGGAACTAACACTATACAATGGTCCATCCAGACTGGCAACTCTGAGAAAAGTTCAAATGAATAGCAAAAATCTAAATGTATTGCTAAAAGGAATTGAGAGCTTAGAATCCAAATATGTGCATTATTAAAAAGGAGCAATTTATTGTTTGAGTATCAAGTGCAGAAAGAATATTGCCTGAAGTATAAGAAGCTTGAATTAAATAAAGCACATTTCCAAACTTCAGAATATAAATAGGAAGTTGGTCGAGGGTTAGCTCTATTGGAACAGGAGCCACAGGAATGGCACATCAACAAACATTTGCATACATGAGTGAATGCACTGAATGAATACCAAACAGGCGCACGCAAGTGCACGCAGAGTCAATAGAGGAAGGCAAATAGTGACGGATGGAAGCAATTTTGAAGGAAATTGAAGCATGTAGCAAGTTATTCCTAAATTCCTATAACTTCAGACAATACATTTACAGATGCAGAACAAAAAAAATGTTTTTTCTAGCTGTACAATTGGGGTAATAGGCTGATTGAGTATTGAGTATTATTCCCAGCGCAACCTTTTAGGAATCACTACCCTGTGGCATCTCAGGAACACATTAAGGACATTTTTGGGGATCCCACAGGGTACGTGTGGAAAAAGGACTGCTGCCACTACCCTAACCACATGGAGAAAAATATCTTTGATCACAAAAAATATGCAAGAATGGAAATAAATATGATGCTAGAGAATAACCTAAGTTTACATTTTCTAGAAAGCTATCATCAAAAACCTCATGCTAGATAAAGGGTCTTGCAGGATTTTGCTTACTTGCATTAAATCAAATTCAAGAAAGTAAAGCATAGAACACACAATCATAGCCCAACACTTGACTTTCTTAAGGCTCGGAGGTGGCATTTCCCCTTACCCAGTAGTAACTCAACTATTGGCCAATAGCAGCTCGCTGAAGATTGATTACACAGCAGCCTGTGAAAGTGATGAATACAACTGCAAAAAGGAGGTCTAAATTGGAAGTATATTGAAAGGTGGTAGATTGAAAGAAAGAAAGCCCAGGAAAAGAACAATGTAATCAGAAAGCTAGAAAGGCGCGAACAAGGAAACAAAGCGTTGTTCAGACCTAATAGTGCTTCCAGAGGGGGCCTCGATGGTCCAGATGCAGTGCAGGTTGTGCTCATAGGGCGCTGGGTAGCCCGGAGACAGGATACGACCAGAAAGCTCGTCCTTGATGGCGCCCCCACACTCCGCTGGAAAGAGGAACAGAGAGAGCGACAGATTAAGGAGCTGAGCAATTAATGCTAAGAGGAAAAGAAAAGGTGTAAAATAAGTAAAAGCTCATCAATGCTCTGAAAGTCAAATTAATAAAAGGATACGGCAAGATTAACATACTTAACATGCCAGAAACTGCATTATCCCACTTCCCGTAAAGTGCATCGCGCCGGTTTCCTCTCATCATTATTAATTATTGACATGGTATAGTCGAACGCTAAAGTTGGATGTGCGTCATCATCTTGTTTGCAATTTGAATGATAAGAGGGAGAGCAGCCAACTTAATATACTCTGTGCATCCTCTTGGCTCAGTGAAGGCAATCCAGCAACTTTACAAATGACCTCGTCCTGTTACCTTTCAAAGTTGATGGACTGGAACAACATCACTTTCAATATGTTTAAAGAAAACTAATTTTCACTGATATGGAAAAATGGGTTGGGGTTAAAGGGACCCTAAGATGCTTTTATCGGGGTTTCCCTTTCCTGTTGTGTGGCAGGTTTCTGTGCATGTGAATGGCCTGCAAGGGCTAAAATCACAAATGTCCCTACAGAGGGAGTTTCTCTCCCAAACCCCCCACCCTGTCTGAACACCTCCATGGGTCCCCTCAGTTGACTTCCGTAACATAATGACTACTGTACATTGTAACACTTGTGCTTCTTTTGGTTAGCACTCCAACACATTGTACATGATAGGCTAAGAGGCGGGACATCTCTAAGCGGTTGACCAATCACAACTCTGGTTTCAGACAGAGGGTGAAAAGAGGTGCAGCACAGGCAGTATGAGAAAAGAGCTTTTTGAACATTAGAGACATGTCACAGTAGAGACGCTAAATACTAATATGAACCTGAACATGAGTGTAATAAGGCCCCTTTCATGTGAGTTAAAAGCATTTTAGGGCTCAATCTATAAATATGTGTACTCCAAGTATGTACAGAATAGATACATGTTTCCTATTGGACAACATGAGACTATGATCATACCGAAAGAGTGGAAGACATCCGAGTATTGTCATTGAGATGCTTATGGGAGTGTTTGTGGCAGTAGTTGTAGTGTTTGTAGACAATATGATGGTTCTAGTATCATATCACAGTTCAACAAGCCCCCCTGAGGAGCTCAACAGACATCAAACATGAGCTCCATCTCTCAATACATAGACAATCATGAATCTCTGATACTACAAAGCAAAATCAGGGGCCACAATATTTTCTCAGGAACAGTGGGAATAATGGAGATATATTTTCAGCTTCAAGTAATACATTTCCATCAGAAAGGCTCTGTGATTGAAAAGCGATTTTCAGCCCCCCTTCAATTACCCCCTCCTACTCGCATCCAAAAAGTGAATGAAAAAAAATGTTCTTTCAACAACATTAGACTTAAAGTGTTTTTGTTAAGATTGTTGAAGTCATCTCATCTGACAAGAAGAGGGTACAAGTATTCTACTTTCCTTTATCTTCCGCTGAGAGGAATAGCTCTTTCAAACAGGGGAAAAATGGAGTTCAAGAAATCATACTGATGGTGATGATGGCTGTGAAATCAATCTGAGGAAAATAGACCCTGAGTTGAAATACGGCAACAGCAGAAAACACACATGAACAGGCTGGCAAGAAACCAACTCAGGAACTAGCTAAGTGAATAAAACAGCGCTCACACACAAAGAGAACATCCCACCGTCAGACAGACACAAGCTGTTGTTTCTCCGTAAACAATTTGTCACCTTTCATTTGATAAACATGCCTTTCCTTGCGTAAGCAGATATTTCCTTGCTTTGTTTCTCTCCTTACCCTCCTACTTCACACTCTTCGCCTCCCTCGGGCGTTGTGCATTTCAACTGCAATACTCATCAGAGCTGGCCTCTGATCGGTGTTCACACAATACAAAACACAAACTTGAAATAGAGTTTATGAAATAATTTAAATATTGGATTGTCCTCTCTTATGTCACTATATTGGAAGGAAAGTAAAAATGTGAAAATAATGAAAGGGAGAAGATAGAAGAGGTTTTAGTTTCTCTCTTCAAGCTTTCCCCCCTCTGTTATGCTTTTCTTGTTGAAAGAAACTTGCTGTTTTTTTATGGAGTGAGAAGTGAAGAGGGTGATCTATCACGGAGACAAAGCCATCTCTTTCCTCTTGCCTTATGACCTAAGAAACTACAGCTCAGTGCTGCCATGGCAGTGTAACTGGCTCAGCTACTCTACCCTTCAATCTATGTCTGCACATACACCTTCATACAAGTCAGCTTGGATTCTGCCTCTTCTTGTCCCACCATTTTCTCTGTACATTTCCCCACAAGACATACTGTATGTATCATTACACGTATATCAAAGTTTGATATATGGAAAGTATGTGGTGCTTTACATATCAAACAGACACATACATACTTAATGATGGCTACAATAGGATGATCCATTTTGTTTTCAATACATATTGAATTGTGAATTGCATGTTTTTGTTTTGTTTTATGTATGTTTGACTGTGTGTGTATGTGTGTGTGTGTGTGTGTGTGTGTGTGTGTGTATGTGTGGTCTAGCATTACTATACTTGTGGGGACCCTACATCTGTTTACATAGTCACATGTGGGGACTGGCTTCCCTTATGGGGACAAATTGGAGGTCCCCATGAGGGGAATCATTAATTTTAGGGTGAAGACTTGGTTAGGTTTAGGATTAGGGTAAGGGTAAGGGTAAGGTTAAGGGTAAGGGTTAGAGTTAGGCATGTGTTGGTTATGGTTAAGGTTAGGATAAGTCTCCAGGAAATGCATGTAAGTCAATGTAATGTCCCCTGAAGTGATGTATACATGGTATGTGTGTGTGTGTGTGTGTGTGTGTGAGAGAGAGTGTGTGGACCCCAGGAAGACTAGCCAATGCTAGTGCTAATGGGGATCCTAATAAATAATAATTGTACACAATCACTTTACTTAAACACAGATACAAATAATGTAAAACGGTGCAAATTGCTATTAAAATACATTGGATAGGGACTGTAATTATGCAACATATGTGTTTGTTGTGTTATCATCTGGTTATCATACGACTCAGTTCCCACATCAGTGTCGAACACATCGCTGCTCAGGCTTTCAACCTTGCAACTTTCCTCTTCCGTGACTTTCAGGAAATAAACTCTCCCTATTGTTTTCAACTCAATTTCATTCTCCTTCCTCCCCGGCTCGATGTACCCTTCTCATCTGTGTTCAGAGTGTCCCCACTGCTCCAAAATAATCCCACCATTACAAACAGAAGCAGTCCCTCATCTGCTCCCAAATTCACTCTGGCTGTTTGGCTATAATTTGTAGCGAAAAAGGGGCACGGGGAGGACAAACCTGTTCAGAGATATAAAGTTTGTTGGATGTTGTTTATACCTAGTCATGAAATTGCCTGTCAGTTTGAGTTGAAATGGGAGCCAAGAAATATTATTCTAATCACCTTGGCGGGTGTCAAAGAACACCAACCTGCCCGTTTTCCTTAACGAGCTTCTGGCTGCTTTCTGAGAGACTCTGTCAAAATGTCTACCATGAGAAGATTGAAAAAGATTGCTCTGCGTTTCTTTTACCATGAAACCATATAGTGCAGTATGTGTGCGTAGGTGTTTCAGTTTTGAAACATAATAAAGCAGACCATGTTAGTGTTAGCTGCCAACGACTGACAGGTGAACTGTAGGTGAACCCTACCGAATGCTCAGATGGGTAAACTATCTAATGGAGAAATTATCTCCATAAAATTGATTTTAAAAGTCTGTCCACCACAGACAGTTAGGGGTTAATACCTGCCTATGAGCTCGGTGTGCTGCTGATACGGGAAGAGTCTTATTTTAGTGAAAATAAATAATGCGAAAAGGGAGTCTATGCAATCGGGATATGAATGTATGGAGCGGAATAGAGCACAGTCATTTCCTGATGAGATAATGCACTGAATAAGGTGCTGGGAAAGCAACCAAATGGATGGCCCAAAATAGCAGAGCTATAACAAACCACAGAGCTTCCCTCAACCTGCACCAGCTAATTCACATTGTTATGGAAATAAAACTAGGTCAGACATGTTGGTTTAGCTGAAAGAACAAAAACTGGTAAGGATTAGTAGCGTGCCAAACACTAAAGCAGCCACTGATAAATACAGTAATATAATGTGTTTCAGCACAATGCTGCAACCTGGATTATAAGCTTAATTTAACATAGCACAATGTAACCGATGGTGATGTAAGGAAAAGTAATAACACACTGTCCTGTAAGGCAGGATAGCAGAGAATAGCCTTACATTGCAGGACAGTTGGTAGCTGATGTAACGTTGAGATGTACATTCGGTCATGTGTTGCAATCAAATTCATTTTTGGCATTTACATAAGTATGTTTAGTCTGCCCGTTCTTCATATTTCTACAATACATCCTACATGTGAAAGCCTTAGCTAGTAGATCAATTGCATCCCAACAATTCTCATACGAAACGTGATGATTTGCTCTCCATTAAACAACACATTTTTAGCTGCTACTTGGTCATCTGCACTTTTAAACTGCTGAATCAAAAAAGTGGTTATTCTGCAAAACAATCTATTTAGCTTTAATACTTTAATTACTTTTTGTTGACAGAATTAATGTCTCAGATCTTTCAAATCTTGTACTGGAATATGTTTCTATGGTTGTACAATACATACTTTTACTTGATGTAGTACTTCCCATGTCACAAACAGACTGATGTTACAGAGATAGGTACAAAACTGTACAAATTGTAAATGTGAGAAAAAAAATCAAAAGAACCCAAAATGATATTAGCAAATAAACAAATATTTCTCTAAACAGCAAGGACACAGTTCTCTAATCCCCTAAGGAGCATCAGACTCACCCATACAGAGTGGGAGGGGGCTTTCCCATGACCTCCTCTCCCCCCTCAGGCAGGTGAGCACCTCGGGTCCTTTCAGGGTGTAGCCTGGGTCACAGCTATACGACACGGTGCTCCCTGCAAAGTGACCCTTGTCCTCCCGCTTGTAGCCAAATTGAGGAGCACCTGGATCCTCACATTTCACCAGCTCGAAACCTTGGATGCAGAGGGTAAGGTGAGGAAGGACAGCACAGCACAGCATAGCAGTAGGAAAGTTTTATTAAACAAAAAAATGGTATGGATTTTATGAGGCAACAGAGAGAGTTGGAAGCACATAAACAAACAAACTGTCGCAAAATGCAAATGTTAAATGTAAAGAAGGGTGGGTGTTTGTGTGTTACTCACTAATGAAGTGCAGTTCAAAGCCTTTGCTGGTGTTATCCGCATTGCTGACAAACTCCAGCCACATGGAGCTGGAGGTGGTGTTCAAAGTGGTCTCTAGCATCTCGCTGCCTGTAAACACCCCCAGCAGACGAGCCTTATTACTGCTGCCATCAAAGACCTGGGAGGAAGAGAGGCAGAGTGGGAGGAAGCATCTGCATTAAGATGATCAGGTGTGCACACGCAGATATGCCACACACACACACGCAGATATGCCACACACACACACGCAGATATGCCACACACACACACGCAGATATGCCACACACACACAGATATCACACACACACACACACACACACACACACACACACACACACACACACACACACACACACACACACACACACACACACACACACACACACACACACACACACACACACACACACACACACACACACACACACACACACACACACACACACACACACACACACACACACACACACACACACACACACACACACACACACACACACACACACACACACACACACACACACACACACACACACACACACACACACACACAATTCCCCTCCACCCCCTCACTTTCAGCATGTCATCCTCCTCCAGTCTGAATTCGCGTGCTCGTAGCTGGATGCCTTTTCCCGGCTGCGTCTGGATAGAGTAGATGCACTCGTGGTAGTTGCCGTAGTAACCGGGGTAGTTGGGTGAGAGCAGCACCCCTTGCATGCCAGTCACGGATGAGCCGCATTCAGCTAGAGAAGAAGAGAAGGAGCGGAGAGACAGAGGAGGTGTTGGAGAGAGCAGAGGACATGTCAATCGCTATATGCTTGAAACTGGCAGAGTATTATTTCATGCCGTCATGCAGAGGGAGATGGGAGAGGTGATGGAGAGGGGGATAAAGTCGATAACTACACCTGAATGTTGAGTGGCACATCATCGTAATCACAATGCAATCTGAATAAGATTAACAGTAATTTCAGCTCTATTTGAAAATTGCTTTTTCTGAATCATATCAGGAAAAGAGTGGACAATTTGGGGCGGCTTTTTATGTAGGAAAATAGCTGCTAACATTTAAATAGCAACAAATGATTCCTGAATGTTGTCTTTGGCAGCGAGGTAAGATGAGGTGATGGGACTCTCCCAGAGGTGTATAAAAAAATAACAAGTTCCTAATATACGGCTGATTTTATATGTGAAAATAAAACAATGTGTCATCGCTATCAACTTTTAAAAATGCGGATTCTTCTGGGCCAAACACAACAAGAGCAGCATTTTTCATTCTCTCAGTTAAATATGCAACGAGAACCGGGGCAGAAGAGGCTGTCAAGTAAATTATAATATATTAAAATAGATTGACCTACTTAACACATGCCTAAACACTGACGATAAAACGTAGAGACAAATCCGATATTAATGGTGTGGGTAAAGAAAATAAATGTGACTGCACCAAATTGAATTTGCTAAACTATAATTACTTGTTTCCAATGAAGAAATGTCAAAATCTTAATGTGAACAAATTACCTCATAAAAAATGCACAATAGGTACAAAATACTTCCATAAAATAATTAAAGTAGTGCACAATTTGGATATCCAGAAAAGAGCTATGATTAGGACAAACGCAGCAAGGTCAACCATTGCCTTGGCCTATGGTTTACCTATAATTAGGACCATTAGGATACCATTTGTTTACATATAAGCACTCTAAAGCAGCTCTTAAGGTTTGGAGCATCATATAATCAACATATTGACTTCAATCTTTGCAGATCGACTTCAATAACATCAATAATAAACATATTTCAGCTCTTGAATGTCATCTTCATTAGATCTAAGCCATCATTTGGACAAAGTCAAAAAGGTTGTTTCTTTGAAGCTATCCAACAAAGAGACAAAACTCAAGCGCACGGAGAGACGATAATGAGGAGAGTTGAAAGGGAAATGCCTCGTCTTGCAATGTGATTGACAGTTTTGTACATTAATGGGTGGGTTTGTGTGAAAGGGCAAGTGTGAGGAGGGTAGAGGGGAAGTGACAAAAGCCAAAAATAAACATGTGACCACCTACCCACACACCTTGGCAGAGGTGAGCTCCACACCCGCCTCCTGCCCCCTAAGCAGATCACCCTCGCCGGACCCTCCAGTCGGTAACCCGGGAAACAGGAGAAGATGAGGGCGTCGCCCACTCCGTACTGCAGGCCCTTCCTGGTACTGTAGGGCGGGATGCCGGGATCCTCGCATGGCTCCAAATCATACTCTGGAAAACAAAAGTATTAGTCGTACATAATACATACATACTAGGTTAACTGTGATGAGTATTTGTAACTTCCATGTCCTGTGATGTTTAAATGTGTGTAAATGTAACTGATAACACTTATTCTGTTATGCTTTGAAATGTTAAGAAGTTTAAAACACTGATTCAAAGGAAGTTGAACCATGTTTAAATCGATTGGATATCCTCAACAAACCCAGATAACATCCAACACAATGTTACTCATTCAAATCAATAAAGCATCAAGTGGCTATGAGGGGTAAAGACATATTTCTTAACATTTAGGCCTCCTTCCAGGAAAGCTTATTATTTTGAGATATGTGGAATTACATTTTGTTATTATATTCTTTAAACTGTGTGTTGGATTTCAAATGAAGGGATGCTGTGAGAGCAAAAGGAGGTGAGATGATTCTCTCAGTGGGTAAAGGGCCATCTGTGCTCTATCCTAATTGATTCATTTAAATTTAATCAATTCTCTTGATGTTAACCATTTCATTATTTACTCTCGAGTGGCGGTAATTACATATTTCTAGGACACATACTTACATCATTATTTGCTCCTTGTTTATGGTGGCCTCCTCCTAGCTAAGCATCGCTCTTACTGTGTCAATAACCTTGTAATTAATGGGGTTACAGAGAGTCTCTGATCCATACTTGTCCACTCTCAACAAGTGCTTAATGGTGTAACCTTTTTAAGCCAGAGCTCATGGTCTCTTCCAAATGATTTGCACGGCTCAGTACTGTGACCGGAACTTTTGGCTTTCCTTTTATTCGCTTCTTAGCAATTTGAATGACTAAATCCATTCTCACCAGAGAAAGTGATGTTGAATCCCTCATAGGAAACAGAGAAGTCGGAGAGGAAGCGGATCTGAGCCGTGTAGTTTCCAAACAGGCCTGCGCTGAGAGGGGGGGGGCAGCGTGGAGCCCATCAGCCTCCACAGAGGCTGGGAGAAGCTGCCGTTCTCCGTCACCAACAGGAAGTCATGAGGGCTCTCCAGGTGGAACGTGTGGAAGGTGAATTGGACGCCTGAAAAATAGAGCAAAAACATACACTGATATGTGTGTCTATATTGACTTGATCGCACTTTGAGGTTTGGTTTCACATATATATATATTGTTATTTGCACTATTGTATATATTTGTACTGTTGTTATATGTTCATAGTGTAGACCGTTTTTTCTTTTATATATTTGCTGTTGTACCTTCTTTATATTTATACCTCTTAATGTGTGTATATCTGTCTAGGTATGGGTATGTATGTGTTTATATATGTGTTTGTATGCATGTATACATGTATATATATATGTTTATTCTTTGGGACGGTGAGACACAGCATTTCGATCTCCCATTTGTATCACACATACAGAGACATTTAGAATGAAGTTAACTTTGATATTCCTGCAAGCTAAAAACTAAATAAAATGTTTGTTGTCTTGAAATAATATATTCCCTGTCTCGTAATGCACACAGCCTCAATTCCCTGTCTTCCTTCCCATGTACTCGTCAAAACATTATGCCCATGCAGAGAGAACAAATTATCCTGTATCGTTTTGATGTGAGCACTCTACCAAAAGGTGACATGACTGAAGTATTGTCCCGTGGCACCGCAGCCCTAGGCCAGCCTCTCAGCACTCCAGTCTTAAAGATTCTTCGTGTTCGGCAGGATAAAAAAGGGCCACTCGGTAGGGGGAGATGACATTGTAAAGGAAATTGAAGTTGGCTGATACATGCGTTGACACAGAAATGCTCAGCTCACCTTTGCCATGGGAGGTCTCTATTATCCACGTGCAGTTCAGGTTGTGTGGGTAAAAGTCTGGGAAGCCAGGGGACAGGATGGTGCCAAAGTTGCCCTGGATGTAACCTCCACACAATGCTGAAGACATAGGGAGGACAGAAACAGCGAGAGATGGATGAGGGAGAGAAATGAGGCAAAATCAGAAAGGGCAAAACAAAGTGGATGAAGACAGAAATTAACTTTTTCCCCCAAAATTGAGAAAACTGTTCTGGGCATTTACATTGCAGTGAAATACATTTTAAAAGAGGTGCCCTTCAACACTGCAGGAAGAACGAGAGTGGTATCATCAATACCATTAAAGAGTGGGCAGAAATCAATAGTGTCCTCAAATATAAAAGCATTTACAGATGAAGAAAAAGGGGAACATCAAAGGGCAAGCTCATGGCCCAACATATAAAACATTTATGATGAAACGAAGCAGAAACCTTTAAAGCCTAAAACAAGAGTTGTTGAGAGAAATGTTATCATCTTGTATAGATGTTATAATAACTTAGAAATAGCTATTTAAATGTGATGCAACATGAAGCAAAGCACTTCTCATATTTGGTCTGCAAAAACATACAACAATGAATATAGCTTTAATCTTATTCATGAAAACTGGCAGGAGACCATTTCGTTTCTAGGTCCATTTTATGGAACGTACCATCACAGGTAGGCAGGGGGCGGCTCCACTGAAAATTGGGTTCACATTCTAAAGGCTCTGTGTCGCTAAGTGTGTACCCTGCGTCACAGGTAAATGTCGCCAAGGCTCCCACATAGAAGTCATTGCCGTGTCGCTGTCCGTTGACAGGTATACCCGGGTCCACGCAGTGATCCGACTGGAGCTGCAGGGCTGGAGAGGAAGAGACAGAAGAGGGGAATACGATCAGCCACACAAAGGTATTGAAATTCCACCTGCTAGCAGTGTAATTAGGCTGATTTCCTGTTTTCAATAGTTCAACTATAGGTCAAGAAAAGTTAAAAGGGCATTTTGCTCTCCAAAAGCAATCCCCATAAATAATTTACTTGAGCATCCTTCTGCAACAGGAATAAACCAATGAGAAGTTTCAGCTCCCGCTCCGCCTTGCATAGTTTCTGCCTAAGTAACATTCGTGGTGAATTATTTAAGTCTTGCAGAGATTTCATCAGGGAGTAAAGGTTACCAGCATGAGCCACATAGGTAGGAATGAAGATAGGAATGCTTTAAGGCATTGTTAAACTCAAGGCCCGGGGGCCAAATCAGGCCCATGGTGGATTTAATTTCGGCCCGCAGGATCATTTCTAATTGCTATTAGATCTGGCCCGCCGGTCGGTATATTGCCCGCACACCTTCACTCCATCCTGAGGGTCTCCTCAGCTCAGAGCCTGAGCCCAAACATTGATGAACTTGCACCCAAGATGAGATGCCAAGTATCTGCTTGAACTAGCATCACAGCAGCACACTGAGTTTCAATGGATGTTTCCTTCTGCACTTTTTCTCTCAGGACAACAGGGCATGTTTGCTTTTTAGTTTATAGTTTTTGTGAAGCTGTTGTTGGCCTGTGGAAAAATGTAATCATAAGAAATGACTGATAGAGCAGATAGAGCCATAAGAAATGAATGCAACTGATTATTTTATGTTTAATGTGGTTTTTATAGGCAATCATTTAAGCTGTGTTAGCTCCTGGTTTAATATGTGGAATAAGTTCTAGCGCACTCGAGCTGGTTTCTCCAAAATGATCTACCCCACCTTTAAGGTTTGGATTTAAAGCATGATTGAAGACCGGTGTGTGGTTAAAGTGTGCGTGTATGGCAACGTGTGCCAAGGCAGAGTTATCTGACACAACAATCTAACCCAGGGGTGTCAAACTCAATTTCATCGCGGGCCACATCAGCAATATGGTTGCACTCAAAGGGCCGGTTGTAACTATATAAAATATACATATATATAAATATATAATATATATAAAATAATGTGTTATATTACATTATTGCCTCTGAATTGGATTATTATCGGATAGGATAATGACTTAGTAATTAACTACGTCTGAAAGCAAATAATTGCAAGTCTCTTCAGTGCGCATGTCACAAAACGAGATGCATTGTGGGACATGTAGTTTATGGGCAACCTGATTCTGTAAAGCGGCATTTAATCGTATAATAAACGTATTACATTCTTTGCAAGCTCTTGCAGGGCCACATAAAATGAAGTCGCGGGCCGGATGTGGCCCCCGGGCCTTGAGTTTGACACCCCTGATCTAACCCCATTTACTTTCTAATTATAGGTGTTCTAATGAGAACAGCTTCATGGTGAAATTGACAGCTTGCGGAGGTTGTATTTACATCTGAAGATTGTAAAGCTTTTACAAGTACAGCGAACAAGGCTTATGAAGCACGGCTAAATAAGCCCTTCATTTACCGTACTGTCTCTTTGGCCGTGTGCATGATTTTTAGCGCACTTTAAGCTCTTACTTTCGTAACGTATGCGGAACCCGATGTCCGAGTGGCTCTTGTCAGTTGAGAAGAAGAGAAACAGGAAATTGGAGGTGCTGATGAGGAACTGGGGAACCTGGGTTCCCTGGTAACTGCCAATGAGATGTGAAGAGGGAAAACGTCCATCGCGCACCTCGAGGATGTCATAGTTGACCTCTGTGCGGAACCTGAGAACAGAGTAAAACAAAGTAAGTTGATTGTTGATTCACATCAACAACAAAAGTGATTTTCTCTACTGGATCCCACGTACCTATGTCTCAGAGGGTTAATGCACTGATTGGGGAGTGAGAGGGTTCTTGCTCCAATCCAAGACCCTTCAGTCAACATGTTGAAGAGTCCTTGGGCAATATAACTGACCGCAGATCACTCCTGTAGGTGTCTACGGTTCAAGTCTATGTAAATCGCTTTGGATAAAAGTCTCAGCTAAATAACTTGTAATGTCAAAGTGGGCAAATTTGATTTTAGGTAAATAATAATCAGTAAGAGACATTTAGAATGATCAAGGAACTCCACTGATGAACTGATTATGAAACCAACTGAAAAGCAGGGTTGTGATTTTTAAAAAGATCATTGATTAAAATGTCACGTTCCCTGCAATCTGAATAAAAGACATTGATGCTTGAATTAACATCAACTCAGAACATTTTGCTTTTAACCCACATGCTAATTATAAATTAGCTGAATTATTTCTAATTTGTACATGATGAGTTTTAGAAAAATCCTGAGACATTTGGCATGCATTGGTGTGTGGTGTGTGTGTGTGTGTGTGGTGTGTGTGTGTGTGTGTGTGTGTGTGTGTGTGTGTGTGTGTGTGTGTATGCTTGTTGTGTGTTTCTCTATTTGTTGCCAGAGCCACTCATCTTCAAAGCCATGAATAAATTGCTGAGCTTCAGAACCATGTCATCTGAATGAAGCGGTCTGTGGTGTTTTATTGATGTTACATACAAATTAAAGAGCAACACACATTTATGTTGTATTCAGTTTGCATTGCATGTCAGGGACGAGGACGAGATGCGCTCGCAACAATGAGCCTTCGCGAAACGCTAATGCGGCGTTTGATCCTGCGAGTGTACATCTCTATCTTCCACAAACATCAGGACAAATCTCTCCCATCTCTGTGGTTCCCCTTGACGGACCATCTCCTGTACATGCATTGCAAACTCATGTACATATAGAACATTGAAGTTTAAGTGGAGTTCTAACAGTAAATGTGTGTGTGTGTTTAAACTGTAAGTACATTTGTGGATCATTAGGGAGGGGCTATCAAATGAAGAATGAAATACTTATGAGTGTGCACTAAATAAAACATAGTGTTCTACTAGTTGGTGGTGTATGTTAATGCGCATTAGATCTACTGCATAACCACCAGAAAGAGAAGACAGAAGAAGAGATTAAAGGGGCTCATTATGCTTTGGGCTTTTCCCTTTTGTGTGTTACTAGGTTTGTGTTCATATTAAATGGTCTGCACAGGCTACAATCCAAAAGTTCCCTCCAGAGGGAGTTCCTCTAACGCACAATCCCTCCTGCCTGAATGCCTCCATTGGACTCCTTTGTTTACTTCCGTAACATAATGACATCACTAAGCAACACATGCGCTTCTATTGGCTAGCCCTCCAACACCTGGTACATGATTGGCTAAGAAGTGGGACATTTCTTAGCAGTTGACCACTCACAACAGAGCCAGCCAGCTAACCAATCAGAGCAGACTGGGACAGGGTGCAAAGAGGTGCTGCAGCACAGGCAGTATGAGAAAAATAAAGAGCTTTTTGAACATTAAAGCCTGGAGACATGTCACAGTAGAAGCTCAAAATACAATTATGAAACCTGAAATGAGCATACTATACTAATGTCCTCTTTAAATAAAGGGAAAACAAGCAGTGGGAAGAATGTGAGCACATATTGTAATTGTGAGAAGGTAAAGTAAAGCTTGCCCTGAAAAAGAAAATAGACGAAAAAAGAAACATTTACACAGCAGCAGTTGCCATCTGTGTGACTCACTTGTCGAAGATGATCTTGATGGGGTAGCCTGGAGGAGCCTCAATGATCCATTCACAGTTAAGGGCCTCCTTATAGAGTTCTGGCCAGCCGGGGGAAAGGATGATCCCACTGGGAGCCTTCAGTTCCCCTCCACATGGGGCTGACGGAGAGAGAGAAGAAACCGAGTGAGAGAGAGAACAGATAGAGATTGAATTATGCATGTCGTCCCTATCTGATGTATGACAGTGTTCATAGATGATTCCATGCATCAGCCGGGGCTCATCCCATTTCTTTTAGTGCCAGGGTCTATCTAATGTAAACTGGAGACGTCTCCCTTCAAGGTTAACCATTTTCTCCTAGGGACATACCTCTCCATCGGACGTGTGTCTGTGTGCACAAGGGCATGCATTACATAACCATGTATGCATATGTCTCCTCCCTTATGCTGCTGTCTTTAAATCCGTGAAACCCCCTCCCTTAAAAGGCGCCGCTGTCACCCCCATCAAACTGAGAAAACGGAGCGTCTTTGATCGCTAGAACAAAAAACGCTTGAGCACATCGACCCCCGTCTCATCGTCTTACCGGTTTCACTTTGCCGTGCATTTTGTAACTGCCTATCCTTAACCAGAACACACGGAGCAGGGCTTAGTTACAGTGCCAGCTCCTGGCTCCCTTTGAAGTGGAATGATTTAATCAGCCAACTCAGCATACTGAAGGACATCTATAAAACGCATTGCTCTACAAACGCAGGGGTATGATAGATGGCCTCAGAGGAATACAAAGCTGCTGTGGCACAGGGGGAAGTGACATGTTTTCATAATGGTTTCTCTTCTGTGTATCGTGAATAGAGAGCCTGATTAGACCCCTCAGAGCTCTAACCACGTCCGTGCTTAATGGGATACGCTGCCGGTGTCCAAGAGCCTGAGCTGGTTACCACCTAGCTGTATCTTCGCTTTGCCAGCTCGATTGGCCTTTTCTGATTTGCTGGAAATTGTTTATTGATATTGAGTCAGAGAGGGGTAAATGGACGGTTCAGCAATCTGCATGTAAGCACAGCATGTCTGCAACAACAGATCATTTGAAAGCAAAACAAAGCTTCTGTATCATCTCAAGCAATCTCTTCCCTTTCGTCAGATTTAGGAGAATGTATGATATTATTGATATGAATTAATCGTATATGCAACATTTGTAAAATAAATGTAGTAATCCATCAAAGACGAAGCAGCAAATCCATTTTTAGATAGATTTGATGTTGATTGATTTCCTTCCCTTTATACACACCAATCCATTCGCTGTTTGGATGTGCAGAAGATATAATCTCTTTACAATCACAAGATTCAGTTATGCTACATTACCAGCTAGAAAGAACATCAAAACAAATACTCTCATTTCATCAGTTTGTAAGGGATAACACAGTGGGCACTTGGCTAATGAGACGCTCGACCACGGTACGAATTCTCTCAGATGAAAATATATGCAAATTCCCCCTAATGATTTAAATCCTCTGCATATTTAAAGTGATTATATCTAGATTATCCTTAGACACAACTCCTACAATGCCATCTTAGATACAATGTGTGACTGGTTTAAAAATATGGGATAAATCCATCTTTACAAATATTTTTAAACAATGTCAGTTATCATAAGGAGGTTTTTTTCTATGCACCCGTCTGAGTCTCTAGCATAGGCTGTAATGTCATGCCAGCTAATGAAAACAAAAACACTCTCCTCAGCCGTAAACTAAGTGAAACCAAGAAGAAATGAGGTCCAACTGTAACATTTGTGAATGACCAGATGAACTCACCTTCACAGCGGGGAACTGCATTATCCCACACCACGTTGCCATCCTTGAGAATGCAAGAGACTGTCTGCGAGCCGTGAGTCTTGACGAAGCCCTCCTCACACAGAAAGGAGATGGAGCTGCCCAGCTGAAGGCTCTCACCGAAGCGCTTCCCATTCACCGGCACACCCGGGTCTGGGCACTCGTTATGGCGAAATGCTATCGGAAATGCAGAGAGGACATAGGGTTAGTGTGAAGAAGTTACAAAAACATTCAGTGATTACTTCCCTTAGTCACATTTAGGCAACAGGCGCATATTTATTTGTGAGAGGAATATTTCACCTGCATTTCTGCTGATATTAATCCTTGTCACATGTAAGACTTAGCCAGGTTTCTGGACAATTGTCAGCAATTAACAATGCCAGCATTTAACGAGAGGAAATTTGTTTCACTTAGTGAGTCACATTGATTCACCCTGCTGCAGTGATTCCAGAGGGTGTGAAACCTCACCGTATGCACATTATCAGCACCAGATGACATGGTGGAACGATACGTGGAGTGGAGGAACAGGGAAAATAGTTTTCATACATCATCAGGACTTTATACATTAAGCTTCTCAATGAAACTTCAGGCAGGAACCAGTTATAAAAGGACGGGTACGAGACGCAGTCACACAAGAAGAGGCATAACCCTGGAACAAGGCATGTAAACAAATACATCACCTGCGCCTCTCTCTCTCCCTCTCACTTACTCTCTCGCTCTCACTCTTGTACACACACGCAGGTGGGTGACACGCGTAGGTGTTGATGAATCCCTCTTCTGTAGCCATTGGACCCAAACAGAGTGCCAGGCAAACCTCATCCATCACGATCATCTTATTTATTAATGTGCCAAAAATCCCCTCAATACACTTTGGCATGTCCTTAATTAACATGAATGACGGAAGCTGTCCGCTCATTGCCCCCCCCTCCCCCAAAACAGTCCTGTAGTTAGATGACACTGTTTTTCAGGAACTAACCGTCATCTTCAATTAACTGCTGCTGACATTCATTTACCACGCTGCAGTGGCAATGTATTCATCTAACTTGCTAATTAATGCATTAGCCACCATGTGTTGTCCACATTGTGGTTTTAAAGAGACACCTGGGTTCGGTGGATGACATGCTTGCAAATGAGCTAAAGCCATGTCCCTAAAGCATTCTGGGTAGGCTGATTTTTGTTTCTTTCAGCTCAAACAGAAATGGTTTAAAAAGCTAGAAACAGAATACAGGACCAGTCTTCTGAGTATTGCCATGCTACATTCCGGTCAATACAGTGTATTAAATAACTGAATAAGTTGCAATATTAAGTCCAGATGAGTTTATCACACTGGTTGACATTGCTATGACGACATATCAAATAATATATTGTGCAGTTAAATTACCAATACTGTTTTAAGAATGTATCAATGGCTACAAAGCAGGTGTTAAGTATGGAATGTGCTGATTACTACAAGAATAATATTACAAATAATAACCATAATGATAGTGCATCTGGAAAATGCTTGACTTCAGACATACATATGACATGATACAGCTTTTGAACAGGGGACATTAAGGCACACGTGTATTGTAATTGTTCACATGATATTCAAAGCATAAAGGGCACATTGTTTTTGATGTACAAGATTAGCACTTTATGATTGATAAAAACCCATATTAAGAAAATACAGGCTTAATGAAAAACGATTAGTGCCATATGTGATAATGAAGTTAACAAAAGTCAAGGGTATATCTGTGTGCTGAGTAGCGTTTGGGTACATTAACATTAGTAATAGAAACAGACACGTTTTTCATGTTCTGCTGCTCATTTTATGAAGATTTAAAGGCTACATGTTTCAGTAAAATGTCCTTCATTTCAAATGAATAATTTGGTTGGAGTGATGTAAAAAAAAATGGAGCTGTACTTTAAGGGAAGGAATCTTTTATGTGGCAGATTTTGATTCCTTAAAGAATATATTTTAGTTCTAATGCAGTAAGTGATATTCTTGTCTGACAAATGTATCACCACTGTGGCTGGATGTGTGTGGACATCATGCCTGAACCTTGCCAACTAATGATGTGCTCTCAAGTACGATAACTCTATGATACTGTGTTAAACTGAAGGTGAGAAACACACAATAGACCACATCAAGAGCAACAAACTGTAAAAGTAAAAATAACATTTCATTGCCTGCATTAAAGTGAGTCACTGCAACTAATGGACAACAAACCGTATAAAGACAAACCTCCCAACGGCACCTCTCTAAAACAGCTCTGTGGCTTTAAAAGGGTTAGGAACTATGGAGATGTTTCTATTGGGATGTGGATAATGCAAAGATCAGGCTCATTTCACAATAGCAACCAAAGCAATAATCCTGCTGCCAAACCTTAACGGTACAGTATATCCATGAAATGAGTTTACCAGCATGCAGCCAACGTGTTCTGCGTCAGAGTAAAAAACCCATCTGGAGTTTCCTCAGAAGTCAGCAGCTACCCAGAATAGAACATAATGAGCTCAGCCGCGAAGTATCTGTCAGGTAAGGAAGCTGCATTTTTGTTTGGATGCCAAGTTTCTATTTAGACACTAAAGGCAGGGTTTTTCTCTTTGCGACTGGAATCTTTTTGCTGAAGGGTTTATGCAGTCATACAATGGGAAACAAAGACATATGATTCAAGCATGCACAGAAACTGTACACGCAGAAACAATCTAGAATACTAAACGTCCAGTCAGAGCAGGTTTTTGTGATAAGCTTTAAAGACTTCCCTATTTCTTATTGGAAGTAACATTTCATACTCACTTGTAAAGGTGATGTTGAAACCTCTGTCTGTGTAGGTGTGGTCAGTCAGGAACTCTAGCCGGGCCACGTGGGCACTGGTTGTTATTGAAGGAGGTAGGACGTTACCGGAAAAGGTGCCCAGGATAGGAGACTCCGCCTGATAAAAACACATATCTGATGAGACCAAATGCTGAAGAGAATAATCGTTTGAGAGAGAACAGCAGCTACAGGAGATACACAGATAACATAAGACCAAGGACAAACACACATACAGCTTAGAAACTTATTTGTTCAGGCTGCTTCTACTCACACACACAATGACATGTCGATAGTTGGAGTTGCACTAAAAGAATACACCGAGAAACCAAGGACACAGCTTTTTTCAACAGTACCTTTCCCCCGTCCTTGATGGAGAGGAAGTCGAACTGTTTCTCCATGCTGAGGTCATTGAAGGCCAGATTGATGCGGCTCTCAGGGTTGCTGATGATGAGCCACACACAGTGCATGTTGTTGCCGTACTCCTGAGGGTAGTTAGGAGACAGGAGCACCCCGGATGGAGTGGTGAAGTTGAAGAAACAGGAAACTATAGCGGTGATGAAGAGATATAGACAAGAGAGAAAGGGAGTAAGAAATAAAACAAAGCAACATGCATTGAATATGGTTTAGGAGGGTGAACAACACATTCTGTTTACTTCTGCCGAGGGAAAATATGATTAGATACTTTGGTATAAACCACACCACACATTCTGTAGACATCATAAAGACAGCAGACACCACCATAATACACTGTGTACAATTACAGTTATCTTGGGCTTACAATTGGTCCATTGGATATAAAAGTAATAACAACTAAATATGTCTGATATTGATGAAAATTGCCAAAGACATCACATCATAACATTTGTTTGTTGTTCATTACGGCAAAATGTTACCATTTATACAGCGTTATATGAAGGGAGGAGCTTTTTGGAAAAATAAATCAAGTAAGCCTTGAGGCATGAAATGGGGATAGAGACATCTTAACTGAATCTTACAACACTTAAGAAGAAACATAATTTTCTTTTTGTGTTGTCAATGAAAAAGAAAAGGCTCTGAACTCCCTCTCTGATAACTATCAAGGCTGTCACTTGATCCCAATTACTCAAATGGAGATCCTTTAGCAACAGCACAATACATTGATGTTACTGGGCAGATGTGGCCCTCTTTGAAAAGCTAGACCACAATGTCTGCTTTGTTCATGAAGCTCTGGCAAGGCTAAAAAAGGAGGTATGAATATGATGTCAATGACAGTGATCTCCTTCACTGAGATATGAAGGAGATCTGATAGGAAAAACACTTTCAGGCTGTCATGGACACTTGCACCCATTTCTGAAACAACTCTGCATCTTTGTCAATTTTCTAAGACTAAATAGATTTCAGATGAAAAATAGCTCATTTAAAAAGCAGATTTGTCTGGCGTCCAGGTGCTGGGCTGTTTCACTGTTAGGGGATGTTTTCAAATAATACAGAGTTTCCAACATGTACGTAGGTTGACCAGGAAATTAAATGACCGTAAACTTAAAGGTGGGGTAGGTAATTTTGGAGAAACCAGCTCGAGTGCGCTAGAATTTGAAAATACACAGCCGGAAGAAATCTGCTACTTCCTTACAGAGCCCCTCCTCCAACACACACGAACGCGCACATGACCAATGAGGGCACGAGATAAGTTTGTCCACAGATGGAAGGCTGACAGGCAGGTAGGCCATCCAGTTACTTTAGCCGGGCCGGCAAAAATGATTGGTCGTGCTTTTTACAGAGCTACGGCTTCCACAGATGACATTTCTTTATGGATTTTTTGTCAAAGCACTTAAAATATTCATTGCTTAACATCGGGATGTTAAGAGCATTCCATGGAATATAACAAAAAGTGTATCTCGAGCCGGTTTCTCAAACTTACCTACCCCACCTTTAATTGAAATGTCAAACACCAAGTAAGCGTAATCAAGTTCAAAGTTAAAGAACAAAACATGGAAAGGTTGAGGTCGTTTTAGCATTATACAATTAGGTCTGTCCTTGACTAAAGAAATTCTTAGTCGACACTCATACGGTTTTGAATATGCACAGAGGCTTTAAATAGCCGACTCGTGGGAATACAACTATTATAATTTAAAGCCAATTGTTCCTTTTTATTATTTAATTAATCAAAGTCAAATGCTTACCCAGCAGTGGAGGAGCAATTTTGGTTTTTAATATTATCATCCTTGGTCTCAATTGAGCGATGACAGGGCTTCTGCCTATTGCCTATTGCATGGTGATGACTTTATCATTTTTTCCTAAAAAACTACGAGCCACCAGATTGATCAGAATGTGTTCCACCATATAAACACATTATATTAATAATAACAGTGCCTAGTACCTGACGCAGAGGCAAACAACCAACTAGGCAATGGACAGCTCTACATTTAGAAAAAGCACATCCTCATATTGATAGTATCAAATTCAATGACAAAAGTGTCTACATTACTATAATAGTTTCATACATATTTACATAACAAACAGAATGTTCCAGTGTTATGTGACCAAATTGACTCTTGTGTCATTCAGCCTGGTGATGTTTATCTATACACTGCACCTTTTGTCCATCCCATTATCTTATCAATTATACAACAGTGGACATTATCCGCAGAGTCAGCTCTTTTCACCCTCTAACTCCGACACTGGGTGTGTTTGTCTTTCATGGCGTTAATTAGCTAATAAGCCTCTGCTGGGCAAACGGCAGGGATAATCTGATCATTTATTATGCAGCCCTCTGCACAAACATACATATGTATGGCAGGGTTTCTATTACCGTGTTTTAGCTGGTAAAATGTATTAAAAACCGGTAAATTCAAAACCTGCCTGTCAAAATGTCCGGTAATAACTGGGAATGCTCCGATCGATTGGCTGCCGATCATTATCGGCCGATATTCACTCTTAATAGTTTGATCGGTTCTCTCTATAAAGGCGGATCAGGAGAGCTGGATCTGATCGATATGGACATAAACGCGAGTGAAGTATAACCGGACGCGAGAGAGAGAGATCAGATCAGCTGCTGTGTCTGATGGAGACACGCAGCTCTGCATGATCACCTGAAGCCCCGCCCACTGTTTAGCGAGCTGCATGAGATACAGGCCGTTTCTCAATCTTGAGGACACTGGCTTCCAAGCCGATATTTCAAGGATGCTACGTCATCGAGTGCCGCCGAAGTACTGTTCCAATCTCCAGCATACTTGGAATTCCACCGAGGCCGCGTCCTTGGTTTGGGGGAAATTTCGAGGCTGCACATGGGTAGACTTCACGTCCTTAAAATCCCCACAATGCTTTGCGCACGGACCAATTTCAAAAACTCTTGCGGAGAATTGCTGAACCGACGCAGCACACATTTAAATGTAAGTATGTAGTGGCGTAGAAAATGTGTAGTGTTGGTAAATATGTTACTTTGTTAAATGTGTTACCACCATAAATGTGTTCCGTGAAAGTAAAGCAAGTTCATAATTAGATAGACATCGTGAGGTATTTATTTTCGGTACAGTTTATGTTGAAACCGTTAGAGAGAGTGGCACACTTGTTAGCCTGTTCCATTCTTCTTCGTTTTCCGAAGCCGTGGCTTGGAAGCATACTTGCTTCGTTTCTGAAGGAAGTGATTTGGAAGTACGCGACTACCAAGCCAGCATCCTCGCGATTGAGAAACGGCCACAGACGGGCTGTCAGGAGAGAGAGGGAGGGAGAGAGAGGATCCGTTTCTCCCGTGTTATTATCCAAAGTTAATGTAAACTCTTGAATAATGTACTTTATCTACTATACAGTACGTAGATTGTTTGAATGTAATAATGATGTGTTTTGTTGTTTGTGGAAGCGCATCATTTATTGAAAAATGAATCGGAACTTTTCGATCTTTTACGATTATAAACTGAAGCAATATAAAAATGACTCCCATTAACTGAGTTTTAAACATCAGCATATCCGGTCATAGTCCGGTAATTACCTGCTAACGGAAACTCTGCTACACAATTCTTATTATTATTGAAACATGACCGGTAAGTTTCAAATTTGTCCAGTAAAATAAATTATTTCCGGACATTTGACCGGCAAGAAAAAATCCTAGAGGAAACCCTGATGTAAGGCACATGTCGGCACGTGGTGAATGTACAATCTGAATTGCACGAGGCTCCCGAGAACTTACAGACGCAGCTGGGTTTCTTCGCCGACCACTGGTTGTTCTTCTGACAGGTGATGTTCTTCTTCCCCACCAGCTCAAACGCAGGCAGACACTCAAAGTACAGTTTGTCCCCGTGGCGGAAACCTGTCCCTTCTCGCTTTCCGTACGCTGGGAATCCAGGATCTCCACAACTTCCCTGGTCAATTTCTGCGTAAAATAAACACAAAGGCAAGAACATTTAACATGCAAAACTGATATTGATAAAACAAATCCTCATTACAGACGGAGACACATGGGGGGCAAAGAAAGACCTGGCTCTGTTACTTGGAGTCATAGTAGAGATAAATGCTAATGTTACAATTTAATTAACACAAGCCATCACCGCGACTGTCCTCTCTTTAACCTTCATATTATCTTAAATACTATTGTTTAGCCAATTAGACAGCCACGGTGGGCCTGCAGCACATGATAATTGTATTTCCTGTAGTCTTCTAGATAAAATAAACACTAGATGGATGTGCTAGAGGAAGGTTATTACTGACTGTAGCCTCCAGCAGATATTGACAAGATACTACTACATGGGTAATAAGTGATATGAAGATGCAGGACCTCACACTAAATCAAAACCAACACTGCTGTATCGCATTAATTCCAGTTTCAGGAAAATGTGTGTTCAGCTTACTGAGTGGGAATTATTGAATACTGCTGGTTTTTGTGTGACCCTTTATTGCGACACAGCAAATGTCCCAGGTAGGCCAATCGAAATACATTTCCTCAAACCCAATTTATTCATTAGTTCCAATTTAAAAAAAAAAATGTTTGCTGACTGTGGAAGCCTGCCAGAGTAGTGCATTCATGTGCAGTCATGGAGTCTGCAGTCTGGACAAAATGACTTTGCTTATCATTTTATACAACGCTGATTTGCAGCCAACTTTTAACTGCTGGATGTGGGAGCGCACTGTCCCAGCCCCTGCATCCTATTTACGTATAAAATAGGATGCAGTCCTATTACAACTACTTACTACAGGAACATTTGACATTAAAATGAACTGTTAGACACTATATTTTTTAGGCTTTTTGGAGTTTTCCCTTTTTTTGAGTGTGTTATATAGATTTGTGTGCATGTAAATGGTCTGCCACGGCTGAAATCCTACAGTTCCCTGCAGAGGGAGTTTCTCTCACGCACACTCCAATGATGTAACTATGTAACACTCGCGCTTCTATTAGCTAGCTCCATCACATTGTACGTCATAGGTGTGGGACATCTCTAAGCGTTTGACCAATCAAAACAGAGCTGGCCAGCTAACCAATCAGTGCAGACTGGGCTCTGGTTTCAGACAGAGGGTGAAAGGAGGTGCTGCAGCACAGGCAGTATGAGAGAAATAAAAAAAGTTCTGATACCTGAAAATTAGCACAATAGGGCCCCTTTAAAGCAACGTTATCCATGTTAAATATAAACTATTTTCTGAGGCAAACAACTGCCTGTTTTATAGATAAAATAGTATATGTGCTGGTTCAGCAAAGTACCAAAGAGAGTAGAGTTGAGCCAAACCATGCAGTGGAAATGAGACAAAAGCCATTCCTGTCTGGCGCCTTTGCTAAGAATGAATGGATATTATAATGTCAATAAATAATAATACAAAACAATTATATATCAAGCAACTTTCAAAACAAAGTTACACAGTGCTTTGCATGATTGAAAAGAACAATAACCTTTTAGAAAAAAAGCTAATTACAATTACAATTACAATTGATATCAAAAAAGCCTCAAGTAATATGAAAATAGAAGGAACTATTATCATAAAAGATAAGACATGTTGGAAATAATATGATGAGCTCAGACAAATAAAAACGTTTTTTTATTAAAAGATAATTGTATTAGCGATGACTCAGTACAGAGTTAATTTTGGTCCGACGAGGCAGAGTAGCTTTTGCACTTCATTACATTATAATCGATGTGATATTCCTTTTGTCACATAATGCATTTAAGTTCTGGACGATTTAATTTCCACTAAGTAGTCTTGACTGTATCCTTATCCTCTCAAAATGTTACCAACTAATTTTTCAAACTTCTTTCTCAACTGTGTCTCTTTTTTCCGCTGCAAATGTATCTCTCCTTTCACTGTGTGAAAAACGTTCTTACTTTTGTTGGAAGCTGATGTGAGCACTTTCAGGTGCAAACACACCTGCATCAAAACGCTTCTTCCTTAAAACCACTCAAAGCCAATTTCATTATCACAAGACGTATGCAAGTCCCTTCTAATTTTCTGAGGTTGCAGATGGGAATGTTGAGGCATCCGGTCGGAGAAACACAGAGCGAATAAGTTCATCCATCCAGGAAATGATGGCAGGGTCTAATACGATTTTAAATCGCACCAGGGGCGATGCTGGGTATAAATCCATACCCTCAGCCTTAATGATGATCATCATTTAGAACACATATTTAGAGCTCACTGCTGTTTGGATGTATGGCTGTCCTGAGGCCGCCTCGTTCACAAGTCAACTCATTGATCTTACGTGGGAGTCACCTTTAAAAGGGGAGACACTGAAAGATAGTTCTCAGATGGGCCTGAGAGAAAATGTATTGGAAATAATACGACAGGAATGTATAAGATCCAACAAACACCACCAATAGCTATAAGATGGACCTCAAAACAATAACAATACATGCACACACAGCATTATACAATAGCGTGTTTGTCTCTATAACATACTCACTCAACTAACTCCCCGCAGGGTTTGTCTTAAAATAAGGCCCCTCTGCCTCATGGGTCCCTACAATCAAAATGTTAGGGAAATAGAGGCAGTAAATGAGAGCCCTTTGAAGTGTGTGAGTGTACATTGGTGTGAACACATGTTTCATGGATTGCCTGTTGTTATACATGTGTTTGTGAATGTGTATGTTGTGTATAAGAGAGCAGGCTGCAGCCATTTGATTCTCATGAATAAGTGAAGAGATGTAATGCATGTCATTTTCGTTGCTGCCGTCTGTTTGTCATGCTGGAAAAATGTAAACATCGTAATGTAACTCTGACTCACTTTACTGCCAACAACTATACCGCAGTCTCCTTGAACGACAAAAAAACTCTAATACTCGATTCTATTGGAATAACCCAATTTTGCATACAATGTCTGATAGAGCTTCAGAGGCCCACGTTTCCACTAAAGCCCTTGTCACACTGTCCCGAAATTGACACCCGATGGACACACGAATATGGAATTGTGAATTTCGCACGAAGATGGCCCCGAACCACACACGAAGGCAACATTTACATTACATTTAAGACATACAACTGCAATGAAAGTAACAAAAACAATGTTACAGTACTATGATACTGTACTGATATCTTCAGACTTTGTTCTTTACTTTATCCGTCTTTATATGTAGAAACTATTACGTTTTCTCCGTAATGTTGTTTCCATAACAACAACAACTTCCTGTCAACTGTCCTTCAAAATAATATATGATATCCTTTTTAGTTTCACAGAACACAAATTGGGTTATTTACATAATATATTTACATGATTTTGTTGTGCAATAAAACAACCCGATGGACACACGATAAAGGATGTGATCGTAGCAACATCGGGCCATTCGTGAGGGCATCTTAAGCCATCGTATGACCGCCTGTGGAGTTTCTCAGGCTCCGGCAGCAACTTCGTGAGCGGTGGCAAAATCTTTGGCATGGCAAAAAATTGCCGAAGGACCTTGCGAAGGTTCATTTTCGTGTTGAATTTGTGTGTCAATTTTGCCCTTCGTAAGGCCATCGTGAGGGCATCTTGTTATCATCGGTGCCATCGGGCATTCGCCCCGATCAGAGTGAGGGTGAATGCACCGATGATAACACGAAGATGACACGATTTGACAAGATGCCCTCACGAGTGCCTTACGAAGTTGCCGCTCACGAAGTTGCTGCCGGAGCCTGAGAAACTCCACCGGCGGTCATACGATGGCTTAGATGCCCTCACGAATGGCCCGATGTTGCTACGATCACAGCCGAATTTGAACATTTCCTTTATCGTGTGTCCATCGGGTGTCAATTTCGGGACAGTGTGACAGGGCCTTTAAGACCTTCATGTAAAGTACCTATAAGATGTTAGACCTATGAGTAAATGACAATATGTTAACTATGCAGGTTAAGGGGCCCTGTTATGCTAATTTCCAGGTTCATATTTGTAGCTTCTTTTTTGTAACATGTTTGCATTCTTTAATTTTCAAAAAGCTCTTTATTTTTCTCATACTGCCTGTGCTGCAGGACCTATTTTCACCCTCTGTCTGAAACCAGAGCCCAGTCTCAACAATGTGTTGGAGCGCTTAAGGCAGGGGGGGGAGTGTGTGTGAGAGGAACTCTGGGATTGTATCCTTTGCAGACCATTGACATGCACAAACACCTACATAACACAGTACAAGAAAGGAAAAACCCCAAAAGCCTAACAGGGCCCATTTAGGCTAAAGTACCAGCACATCTTCAAATTACAAAACATGCCATAACTTTAAGTATAAAACTGCCTGAAAAGTTGAACATTTGAGGCCACAGCAGAATGCAAACCACACTCTAATGTGTGTGTACTGGTTTGACTGTGTTTGCAATTACACTTGATGATCAGGTTTAAAATACAAGTAATTGAGAATGCAAATTAGATTGTGGGCGCTCCAGTCTGGGAGGTGAAGTGGTTCAAAGTGTTTCTTCCCCTTCATTAAGTACAACTCATTGTTTTAATTACACTTTGGTTCGGCATGTTGCTCTACTTTCTCTGTTGTTTTTACTGATGAAAAATAAGCATCTGTTGGCAAGGGAGAAGCCTCGCTGTGTTCAGAGAGACAAGCGGCGGACCTATCTAATAGAAGAACTCTGGCAAACTCCCCATACTCACACACAGGCACACACACACACACACACCAATACACAAACTCACACTGTCACTCTGTTTTGTCTCTCTTGTCTCCACAATGCTTTCACAAAGACGTATTCATTACCATTTTCCAAGTCACACACATATGAGTATACAGATCATGTGCACACTTGGTTTTGAGAATACATCAGAAATCTGTGGAAGGCTGCATCGATGGCTAATTGCCTGTGTTACCAAAATAAGTGCCCCTTTTGTCCTTCCTCATTAGCTTTCAAGGCACCAATTATGACACAAATCATTATTTTTGAACATCATTTGTGCATAGTTGCAAGAGAACCAGCAATTTGGGGATTGATTAACTGAAAGTCCTTGACTACATTGATTCCTTGTTGCTGTTTATGTTTCTCTCAAGGGTTTTGTAGTCCAGCTGTATTGTTGCAGCACCCGATGCGGCAGAAGGAGATCCCAAGGCGGGCCGCGCCACGCCTGTTTTGTTACGATGCTATTAAGCTTCTTACAAAAGTCTTAGATGAGACAGATGGAGCATCTCTGACCCCTCTGTTCTTGAAACTAAACTCGAGAAGACAGGAAAGGACAGCAATGTGACAGTTAACGAGGCAAAATGTGTTCTGTCAGTGGCTATGTTGGCAGATTTCAGCAATGAGTCACAATACACAAGGGGAAATTATCCAAAAAAAGACACTTCCCTCTATTTGTGAAAGAAAAAAACAGTTTATAAAATGCGGCAACGAAGCTGGCACTTCGGCAACAAAAACGTTTGAATCACTCTTACCTTCAAAAGACACCTTGAATCCCAGGGAGCCACTGGTGTCGTCTGTTTTGAAGTTGAGCCACATCTGGTGACTGGTGCTAACCACAAGGTCTGGAGTCGTGGTTCCAGACAGGCTGCAAAAGAGAAATGATCTCTTTAAGATTGTTGTAAACACACCGTTGGTTTGTGCTACTAAGGTTGTGACTGCATGGTGTGTCAAACTGGATCAGTTGTTTCAATTAATATTATAAACATATAAAGTTTATAATATATAAAGTTTGCATTTACTGCAGTGGATTTGGAGCAATTGTAATAGTCAAAGGCACTGTTTCCACTGCATCACTAAAAACGTAATGCAAGCAGAAGAAGAAAAACAACAACACCTGAAGATACATTTTAAACTGTCTGACTTTACTCATCAAAGAAAAGTGCTCTGACACAGTTGCAGGCAATTCCAGTCTGAGAATTGAATACAATAAAAAAAACATTTCATTCAAAACAGTTGGGGACAAGAAAGTGGAACATGAAGGCAGATCAGTCAATGCCAAAGAAAGAATGTAATCCTATTTGAAAAGTTATTCCCCCAACTCTAATTAGGAAGTGTATAGCTGTGCGGAAGTGATTAAAGGCTCTAATTTGAGTGATGGCACACAGAGGACGGTAGGAGCAGTAAAGAAGCTGTCTGGGTAAGAACGGTGTGTGATTGTCTCCTTTCCTGCAGTCTGACAGTCAGAGTGTTTCTGTGACATTGTTTATACATATGTGGAGGGAAAGATGGAACACAATGCACCGTGTTGTGGGGATTGCATTTTCTGCCAAAAACAACCACTGCTTTTCTTAGACATGTGTTTGTTTTACCACGATAACTCCAATAGTTTTAATTAACGCAGGTTTGTCGGCAATTGGAATGGAAACACATTCTGTCAGTTATAATTTACCTGCAAGTTAATCACTCTCTCAAACACTATCCTTGTTTGAAGTAGTCTATCTGCTGATGATAATTGTGTTCTTCCCACACAAGGACATCGTTTTTCCATGAGAAACACGTTTGTGGCAGACTAACACCAAATGGTTCTCTCCTATAATCAAACTGTCATTGCTCCGGGTCTCTGAGGTGAAAAGAATTTGATTGGCTGCGACTCAGTGCTTATTTACCAGCATTTAAGCATTTATTACTGTGCTGCAGCAGAGCTACATTCCTCTGACCTTAAAGTAACAACAGAATAATTCCCCACACCTTGCACACGCTTGCCTTCACCACAGATTCACAAAAATATAGTCCTAAATAAACGGTGCTGATAGCTGCAGTTTATTCTCCAGTCCTAAATTGTTCTAGTGGTTTGTGTGCAATAGGGCATTAGATCTCGATGACAGCATTGCTCACACAACTTTCATATCATAAAGAAGTCTGTAAAGGGCGGAGGGGATTTTTAATTGAACAGATTAGCTCATTTGGATAGCTGTGGCGTAAGTGATTAAAGGCTCTGCGGCGGTGGTGGCGAAGTCAATAGGGACTTGGCTTGGCAACTGGAAGGTCACCAGTTCAAGTCCCGGAAAGACCAAGTGCTACCGAGGTGTCCCTGAGCAAGGCACCGTTCCCTATACTGCTCCCAGGGCACCGTACATAATGGCAGCACACTGCTCCTAACACTAGGATGGGTCAAACGCAGAGGAACCGTTTCGTTACATAGTACCTGTACTAAGTAATGACAATAAGTTGAATCTTCTTCATTTGTGTGTGTTCTGTAAGTATGCGCACAACATAAAGTGAGGAAGATCTTCTCTTACCAACTAACTCCTCCCCCAGCTCCAGGGTGAGGCAGAGCCACATAAAAATGTATCTATAAAAACTTTATTAAGTTGGTACATTTCAGCGCAAATAATAACAACATCCTGTGAATTGTTATGGAGCATCTGCTAGCACAAACTCTATCAGGGGGCATCAATATGCAGTTTGCAATGCTGCACCACAGGGCTGTGATCTTGTTTTTAACATTGAAAAGAGTTCATGATTGACAATGTGATGCAGCATCAATTGTTCATGCACTACTGCATCAGGTGGTGATGAAACAAACGAGAAACAGTACAACAAAGAGAAAAGGGCTGCAGGGTGAGAGGAAGAGAGAGGGATGATGCCCGCTGCAGGAAAGCGGAGGAGGACAGGAGGCAAGCGTGCCAAAAAAGAAAAAGGTGAGGAGTGAAAGCAAAAGATGACACCATGGAACATGAGAAACCAAAATGAAAATGATGTGGCAAATTAAAAGCTGGAAGAAGATAGAGAACAGAGGGAAGTAATAAAGCAAAAACAGAGAGGTCAAATGAGTCACTCACACGTGGAAGACGGTCTTCTGGTCGCCCACCACCTCCCCGTCTCCCACCGTCAGGGTGTCGTAGCCTCGTTCCAGGTCAAAGTCCTCAAAGGTCAGCTTTATCACCTAGACAGGAGCAGTGGAAGTGGTAAACGGCAGATGCTTGGATGCTCCTGACCCCAGATGCACAGGAGAAACCCCTCGCATAAGTGACAGTCCATCCCTCTGCCCATCCATCTATCATCAATCACATGTTTGAATATGTTCGTGGCACAATTCCAATAAACCATATGTACCAGCTGTGTATGTTGCATGTACAACCTTGATCCCTTTACTAGTATTTATTGCCCTTTAAATATTCACATACTTTCATGAATACACACTCATCTGAAATGATAAGGTATGCCCAGAGAGTTATGTCAGTGTATGTGACTGTGTGTACAATTCTGCCACTAATCTAATATCTGATTCCCGCCAGGCGTTCTGCATGACCCAAAGTTGCAGATGACTTTGTGGCCTATGTTGCCAGACTTACAATAACTTTAAGCACATCAGGAGATGTGGCAGGGGATTTGAGACTGTCCACAAGGTAAATATATATATATCATAAAAGTGGCACATATGTTTCAAAAGATTTATGGAATGGATTTCCACGCTGAGGAAAACAGCAGAGCGGCTTATTTCATCTAATTTCTATTCCGCAGGTGGGAGTGTGGGAGAGAAGGTGAACAAGGTAGGGAAATCAATAAGTGTGCCATAGCTGGAGGAAGCCAGGGGCAACTCGAATAAAGACAGGCAGACAAATAAGGTTTGATTATGAGTTTATAAATAAAGACAACAAAGCAGGGTAATGTCGGAGACCAAGATATACACAAATAAAAAGCAAAACAAATGCCGTCTTTGTCCCCATTTTAAATTGGCTACAACTGATTTCCTCCACATTTTTAATGTTTTCAGAGAGCTGAGAGAGCCAGACCTAATGAAAAAGCTTATATAAATGCAAATTGCATTCTGTCCTATGTTACACCAGATGACTAATGAAAATTGCCACGGTAGAGAGAAAAGATGGATGGCGACGCGTGTAGGCTAAATAGGTCAGATCACTAGATAAATAGAGTTTCATACCGCAGACTCGTCCCCTGTCAGCCAGCCAACAGGAGGGACAAAAGGTTAGACAGGAATAAACAGGAAAGCAAGAAAAGCAAAGCCACCATATATATACTTTATATTTATTGCCATCTCTGACGTCATGTCTGACATTTTGGTTTCTTTAGAACCCGAGTGTCCCCAGACACTGACGGACAAACACTTAAATGATTGCCAAGGAAAGCCAGCTGCATTCGGTACCTTCAGGACATAATGAAGGAGCAACACTAGACACGAACCCACATTAGTCATGATGTCACGAGGCTGATTTTAGGTCTAGAAGGGCTGTGTCACGTCCTACCCTTGCAGTTCCGCCTCAGTCTCCTGCCTGACCTAACGTCTCCTCTGGCTGGGCCTATGCGTACGGGCAGGAATAGAAGCTCATTACGCCGCTAAACAGAAAGAACAGCCTCGCTCCATCTTCATCTGGACCAGACAACAGGGCGAGAGACAGCCCAAAGTACCATTGTCTGTTTCAGCAAGCTGCCTGCCGATAATACCCAGGGGTGTGTGTGTGTGTGTGTGTGTGTGTGTGTGTGTGTGTGTGTGTGTGTGTGTGTGTGTGTGTGTGTGTGTGTGTGTGTGTGTGCGGTAGAGTGGTTAGTTGTGCATCTCATTACACCCATCTGCCTTGCCTCTCACCTCACATAGCCTCTCCTCAAGTTGGCATAGTGCAATAAGAGAACACATTTGTACAACCAATTTGTCTGAGTTCAGAGAAGGATATTTGGCAGGAGAGCACCTGGGTGGCCTTGAACACAACTCCAAAGTCAATGGTCTGAGCCGAGTAGCTATGACACTTTCATGATATCTTCTGAGCATGCTCTAAAACCTCTCCATTACTCTACCTTCAGTTTTCTCCTCTCCCTCACCACAGGTGTTTCTAACAACTCTCTTTGTCTTCCTTTGGCTCATGTCCAGCGCCCACAAACCCTTTCTTTTCTTACATGTCATATCTTCTATGAATGAGCTTCTGTCACATGACACTCATGTCGTGTAGCAACTTTCAGATGTATGAAACCAGACACTCTGGTTCCTCTGGATTTCGCTTTGCAAACAAACCACTTAACACACTGCTGGAAACAAGTGATTACAGGAGCAAAGTAGCACCTCACTGTTGCTTAAATCCCACGGTTAATTACTTTTACCTTGGTCATGTCCGTGGCTGAGATGAGCCAAGTGCAGTTAGCATTGTTGTCATATTGGACCGGGTAGTTTGGGGACGTGATGACACCACTGGGTCCTTTCAACTGACCTCCACACATCGGTGCTACAAGGAAAAAAAGAGAGACACAGAGAGAGAGAAATGTTTGGTAAATGACACATGTTTACTCCACCAAGCGTACTGCTGTTTGACTGCTGGTCATCATTTAAACCCCTCGGCCTATTACGGTTTCTCATTCCTTTATTGTTTTTTAAGCATTGTGCAATATCAATAGATACATTTCTTCAAATCCTGTAAAAAGGAAGCGAACATTTACCAGGTGACTTGGTAGGCATCCTAAAGCATTGCCAAATATAAGTAATTTAAAATGAACAATGCATTCGTTAAACTTCACATTACTTCAGAGTTTCTGACTGAACTGTAAACAAGCATCCCTTTTGAGTGTTGAAGCTGTTTGTCAAGCGCTTGGTGATAATGATAATCTGTCCTTTTATCATCAAATTATAAACCAAAGAGCCATCAAAACAAAATCAACTGCTGTGCATCCTCTAAGCACTTGACTTGCCAATTTAGCGTGGCAGTGTGAAAAATAGACTGATGGGGGATTACATCGAGGCCATACATCACTTAGTTTTCCCACAGGTTTAGAAAACGGCGGGTAGTAAACACACCAGGATCATTTATTATAAGAATAAAACAAATAATTTGACATTAGACCGTCTTTATGATCCTCTGCCATTGTTATAATGTTTCAAAAATAAATTCGGGCAGTCATTAATATAGTTGGGTTCTTTCCAGAAACACAAATTAAGTAACAGACTCAATATGTTATTTAAAGAGCAGATAAGCAGTTAGCAAACCGATCTTTGAAGGACACTGTGACTTCTTTATCGAGGCCCGAGGGTGTCTGTTAAATTCCCCTTCAAATTAAAGCAGAATTTGTAATGAGTCCTGTAAGGGAGCTGAAGGAGTTTGTACGTGTATACACATGTGGGGTGTAACCAGAAATTATTTGAAAAGGCCCTGAACCAGCTACCCAATTTTTTAATGAGTTATGTCTAAGAAAGGTCCTTTGGGTGTTCAGGCCCCATTCAGCGGTTCCATGTTCCAGCCCCCTCCCACCAAATCACCCCTATTAAAAAGTAAGAAAGAACTTTAGCGTAGTTAATGGGAAAATAGAGTTATTCATTTGAGTTGTACTGACAGTGAGGGTGACCTTAACCGTTGTGTTGTGTTCGAAAGCTGTTACCGGGTACATTTTGACCCATGAATTATTTCAGTCCAAAAAACTCAAAAATAATGACTATGATCCAATATTGTTTTAACTACATCATAACTAACTTATAATGCATTCATAACCGTACAATCCTGTTGTAATTGTATTTGATGGCCCCAAAACACATTACACCACATATAGCACACGTGCATGTGTGTGTTCTGGTTCAAGTCAAGTGTACATATTCTTTGTGAGAAGTCGAGTTCCCTTGGGGGGAGGGGGGGCAGAGGGATGGGAGACCAGGTGCATGTTGCGAAAAAGTATTGTTACAGTGGATGAAGGGGGTGGGGGAGGGGTGTCTAAAGTCAAAGATGCATCTTGATTGGGCCAAATTTGACCCAGAGTCACCCAAAACAATGCTGCTGGGTCCTCCCAGACCCGAACACCAAATAATACACTTGTTTTTCTTTAGAGACCTTCAGACTTAGCTAAAATTGTCAAAATCTGTTTTGTAGTGTTTATATAGCTGTTGTGGAGGATATCATGAAGCCTTGTTCCGATAAAAAAAACTAGAGCGTAGTTATTATAGCATTTTAACTTGAAACGGGTCACGGGAGACCCGAACACAACATAAGGGTTAAATAAATTAATACAGCAGAAAAGAACTCCACCAAAGATATCATAACCACTTTTATGTTTTATTATTATTCTTTTTTAATCTTGGGGATCATTGTGCCTGATACAACCCATGCCGTTCATAACGGAAATGAATTGCAGGAGATAAGTGTGTGCAGTAAGAAGTATAAACGTAACGTAGCTTTCAAGTCATGGGGAGTTAATTTTTCAGCCTTTGGATGAAGATTTTTCATTTGCAAATGATAGTGCTGTTCAATTTAATGATGACTAATGCTAATTTAGGACACAGAGATTAAATTATCCCTGGATATTTAATCTTCATTGAGAGGAAACAAAGACGCAGCAACAAAGGTTAAATGTGGATGATGGAATGAGATTTTCTTTAAGGCCAATTTCATTGACATCATTGTGGATGCTATTTCAATCTGAAGTGTTTCTTTCCATAAAACAGAAAAACTACTCAATTTGTACTTTGTGGTATTATTTTTTTTTAAAGAACAGAAGATAAAAGTGTTTTTCTTCAGATTGTTTCGTGCCACAAAACTCAAACATTATTATATGAATGGGAGGTTACTGTCCATATCTTATATAAGACGAATCACTACCAATCACCCCACCCCTTTAATCCTTCTCAGATCCTGCCCCGCTCTCCTTAGTGCTGTAATTTAATTTTGGCACAATTGGATCAGACTAAGATAAAAGAAAGAATGGAGGAACCTGTGGAATGCTGTATTTTGAGAATGCATTAACTGAAGTGGAGTAACATCCATGAACTATACTGTAGGTGACGTTAAAGGAAATGCTGCAGGTGATTACATTAGACAAACCCCTCAGAGATTAGCCAGTTTAAAAGCCCACATGGGGAAACTGGTACAAAATGTCTGATATAGATCTGCTGGGGACAAAGGTCATTATTGGTATGTATATTTGGATTAAAATAGGATATATAAATTACATCAAATGATCACTTATATGTCATTTCAAGGCCTTTTTTGGCCACTCTAGGAAAGTTGAAATAAGTTGTGATGGAAAAAGTTACATTATATCACAATTGAAGGTGATATGGCTCATTGTTAGCGACTCTTTACACATCCAGCAGTTATAAAGCCACCTTATAATTCATTTTAAGATGAGCTCGTTACATCTGATTAATTTAAGTCCATTATTCACTGTGTTTTAGCGCTCTTGTTGGTGTCCATCAGCTACTTACAAAAAAATATGTCCCTTTATCTACATTCTCCTCCTTATCTTGACTGGCTAGTCACTAACTGTGTCTGAATGCTGTGTGGTTCTGACCAAGAAGTGCACAATGTGTTTTTGAAACTGTTTTACTAAAGCTTCCAAAAAGCGATTATAAAAAAGCTGATGAAAGATACTTAATTTGACTATATGTCTCTTCCTTAGTTCTTTCAGATTAATACTTTCTATTGAACAAATAATCCCCACCAGAAGACAATGCATTAAAACTCTTTGATTTGCATTTTGTAGTCTATAAAAATGAAATATTAAAGTAGGGACCAGTATGCTGAATGTATCTTATTAACTGGATTTGTTGGGTACAGAATTGTAACCTTTCAGCTTTAAGCAAAAACTACCAAGTCAAATATTAAAAATGTCTTGCTTCAATGAATACACCTCATGCAGTAGATACCAATCGGTGGAACCAATTATAAGACACACAAAAAGTCAAAAATGCTATCTTCTCTGATTAATTCCGTTCACTGAGGCTGAAAACTGAAACGGAGGAGCAGATGAGCATCAGGGAGAGCGTACAGGGAGCCTGACCGTCATCCTGCCTGTCACAACATGGTCAGAAGTGAGGAGGGCATGACTGATGGGCAGCGCTGCGTCGGCATGGCTAAACAGCAGGCAGAAAAACAATGCTGGCCAAAGGTCAAAGTCAGGGCAGTCACAACAAAACGGATAATCAAAAAAAGGAAACATGTACATGGACTGTGTATATCCATAAAGTGACCGCACACTCACAAGTATCATGACACATATAAATGGAGGTCACATTTACACCGCGAGAGTATACATACATGACAACCTACTCTCTTATCTACGATCTTAAGTGGTTTGTGTGTGTGTGTTTGACTATCTGCCACTATCTGCTCCTCTGATCAACAGGAGGTGCTCTCTCAAGTTTGATCAGGATTTTTTTTTACATTTTAAAATACACCGACATGTTTCAGATAAATACGGTGAGTGATATAAAGACATGAAGCAGTTTAAAACACAATCACACGTATTCAATCTTTACACAGATATATTATTTTACATCTATTAATATTAAGTCTAAGTATTTACATCTAGGTAAGGTGTTACCAAAGTGTGTGTGTGTCAGTCTGCGAAAATAGACATGTGGGTGGAGGGTAGGGTGGGTTTGTTTTGCAAGTATGAGTGGGGATGATATATTATTTAATGACAACCATTTTTCATTAACTTTGTTGTTCTTTAATGTATTTATCTTTTTTTAATATATATATATATTTTCTTTTTTGGTTTTATCTCATTTAATTTGTATTTGAAGCAAGTATATTTTTGGTTTAAAATGTGCATGTGATGTTATTTTTAAAGAGCAACCTACGTTTCATCAGTCCTTACCTCTGCATATAGGCCGGTCGTCACTCCATCCCACGTAGCTGTCTGTGACTCGGAGACAGCTGATGCTCTTTGATCCTTGCAATTCATAACCCTCGTCGCAGGAGAAATGCACCGTGGATCCTCGCCTGCAGTAGATTGCATACCGAGAAAACACATCAGCATTTCCTGTGAAAAACACCTCTGCCAGTGGGACAGCATATAAGATTAAAGAACCAAGAAGAAATGTTCACTGCTAAAAAAAACGATATTTTCTTAGACTTTCCAGGTGTGATTTCAGAAAGTGCTGCATTGTGGGAGTTGGGTGTATCCCATTTGTCTGTGTTACAGCTGACCACTGAAAGAGACAATAGCGGTGACAGGAATGAAACTCCATAATCCCAACGGCAATATCGCCATCCCACAGAGGCAGCCTATTAGTGTGCAGTGGCTCAAATGGTAAGGTATCTGTTATACTGTACACTTCTCTATTGGTTTCGGTTGCAGCGGCTTTATGGGGCATGACTTCGGGTAATCGGCTGAATGCCAGAGCACATTTCAAGATGCAGTCCCTGATTGGTAATAGCTCCCAATAGTTTCCTTCCAGCTCACTGTTGATTCAATCTTAAATGTGAACAAAGCTAAAATCATCAGTACTGCACTGGGAGATGTATTGGGAATTAATTTGGGACTGGATGTAAAAAGGCAGAGTCTTAATATTTCTGAAATATATATTTGTTTTTGTGTAGCATAATGGACTAAAGTACAACTGGATTATGTTGTGCAACCCTGTTTTGCATAATGATAATTGAATACTTAAATACATTTTAAATAAATTCACTTAAGCCCCTGTCACACTGTCCCGAAATTGACACCCGATGGACACACGAATATGGAATTGTGAATTTCGCACGAAGATGGCCCCGAACCACACACGAAGGCAACATTTACATTACATTTAAGACATACAACTGCAATGAAAGTAACAAAAACAATGTTACAGTACTATGATACTGTACTGATATCTTCAGACTTTGTTCTTTACTTTATCAGTCTTTATATGTAGAAAATATTACGTTTTCTCCGTAATGTTGTTTCCATAGCAACAACAACTTCCTGTCAACTCTCCTTCAAAATAATATATTATATCCTTTTTAGTTTCACAGAACACAAATTGGGTTATTTACATAATATATTTACATGATTTTGTTGTGCAATAAAACAACCCGATGGACACACGATAAAGGAAATGTTCAAATTCGGCTGTGATCGTAACGACATCGGGCCATTCGTGAGGGCATCTTAAGCCATCGTATGACCACCGGTGGAGTTTCTCAGGCTCCGGCAGCAACTTCGTGAGCGGTGGCAAAATCTTTGGCATGCCAAAAAATTGCCGAAGGACCTTGCGAAGGTTCATTTTCGTGTTGAATTTGTGTGTCAATTTTGCCCTTCGTAAGGCCATCGTGAGGGCATCTTGTTATCATCGGTGCCATCGGGCATTCGCCCCGATCAGAGTGAGGGTGAATGCACCGATGATAACACGAAGATGACACGATTTGACAAGATGCCCTCACGAGTGCCTTACGAAGTTGCCGCTCACGAAGTTGCTGCCGGAGCCTGAGAAACTCCACCGGCGGTCATACGATGGCTTAAGATGCCCTCACGAATGGCCCGATGTTGCTACGATCACAGCCGAATTTGAACATTTCCTTTATCGTGTGTCCATCGGGTGTCAATTTCGGGACAGTGTGACAGGGGCTTTATGGAGGTTGTCCCTGTTGGGGAAACACTTTCCAAGGTCCATAACTTTGACCCAGTTTATCAGTTCAAACTGTCCTGACTGAGCACACGCACCTGTAACCTTGGCTGCTGTGCTCTCAGTGTTTTGTCTCCATGTTCCAGCCTGTTAGCGTCAGCTGATAGAGGTGTTACGATTCTATCTTGTTATGCAGCATGTTGATTATTCTCTCTGAACTAACTAAATACATGGGTCTGGGGTAGAGTTATTCTGAATTGACGTGGCAACTCTACCGTGAAGTCAGAACCTCTGGCTCTTGGACTTGTGATGTGAATTATCCGGCCGAAGCTCCTAAATAAACCATCAGTGTTTGACATCAAAGTTCCAACTCTCCTCGTGTCTCTCTGAGTCCTGACTCTCCATTGCTACAGAGGTTTCCCTTACAGTCCCAATATTAGAACAGTACATTTAAAACATTTGAAAAGTATTAAACAACTTCTACTACCAAGAGACATTGGAAGTGGAAGTAATTAAAACTCAGATATTATTTAATTCAAATAAAAGAGAACCAAATGGGGAGAGAAATAGTCAACTTTTTCACAGCACACTTTCCCAGAACACCCTTATACATCTTGTTAAATAGACCTTGAGAATTCAATTAGAAAATCTTATTTAAATATACATATTTGCTGAATTGTGACAAAGGGCCAATTCAAAAACTGAAAATGAGGCTAATGAATGCAATATCCACATTAAATACAGACAGAAAATACCGTTGCTTTCAATTTATACTGTATAGCTCTAGATCAGGGGTGTCAAACACAATTTCATCGCGGGCCACATCAGCATTATGGTTGCACTCAAAGGGCCGGTTGTAACTTTAATACTATATCAAAATACATATATAAATATTTTATATATATAAACGTATGTATTATATTACATTATTGCCTCTGCATTGGATTATTATGGGATAGGGTAATGACTTCATAATTAACTACATCCGAAAGCAGAAGTCTAGGGCAAATAATTGCAAGTCTCTTCAGTGAGAATGTCACAAAATGATATTTTTTTAAAAGCCAAATTCTGGAAAAAAATGTAAAATGAAAAGAAAAAGTGAAATGTTGAAGCAAAAATATAAAATTCTGAACAAAATTCATATTTGAGATGCATTGTGGGACATGTAGTTTATGGGCAACGTGCTTCTGTAAATCGACATGTAACCGTATAATAAAAGTATTATATTCTATCAGAGCTCTTGTGGGGCCACATTAAATTAAGTTACGGGCCGGATTTGGCCCCCGGGCCTTGAGTTTGACACCCCTGCTCTAGATGATATAGCCTAATAGTGTCATTATCTTTTTTTCTCAAAGAAAGGCAAAGTCTTAGCAAAAAAAAAAAAAAAGTTATTAATGACATTATCTCCATCAACCTGTACTTGTTCAGTCACAAGTGCTACTAAACAGTGTGCTTATTGAATCATCCTGTAATCATGCTTTTACCCGTAGTCTGTGCCTTTTCTTTTTCCTCGGTCTGGGATGCCCGGGTCTGGACACATGTTGTGTCCCTGCGCTACACCCATCTGAGACACTAATGGGAGAAGACCACAGGGACATTTACTGCATTAAGCAACATTTACCATACATATATTTCACAAGGTAGTTGTAGTACACTTACCTGGCCACTGTGAAATATTGACAGTAGTCCAACCACATCATCACTTTTAAAGAGTCAATAAAGGGCTTTTTTACCCAACATTTGTCCTCTGTATTTCTCAGGTTGCTAGATGTCAATGCAAACGTCGTTACATGATGGGTCATTTGTTTCTTTGTTGTTTATGTTCCGCCCTCTGGTTGTCAATATCAACTTTAACCTTACAGAACAAATGGATAAAAAGTGTGATAAGTTTAATTGAAGCTTCCTTCATCGTTTTGTATTGTCACACTAGAGTAGTGCTTGGTATTTACCCAGCACTACCTTTGCTTCATTAAATCATCCGGCATACTCCTTGATCGTTCAGGTGGTGCTCTGTTTAATCATGTTGCTGGGTGCAAAACAGTGGATGGTGAGGGGCCAGAAGGGGTCAAATAAACGTGGCCGAGCAGAAGGGCCCATCTGACTGACTGGAAGGGGTCAGAGGTCTGCGGGGCCAAAGCAATGCGACACCTGCTCATTGGCTGGGCTGCCAGAATGAGGCAGGACAGCAATGAATCTAAAACAAGGCTCACTGGTGTCAGCAGAGGCAATGAATACAGGGATAATAGACCTACTGTTGAATACACACTAAAGCAGGAAGGTGTTGACTAAGTCAGTGACTGTGAGGCTTTCTCACATCTTTACAGGAGAAACTATATGCTGTCTTTTCACACTAATCAATTGACTGACCCTATAATTGATGTGAACAATCTAAGATACGTTTTTAAAGATCACAAAGGAAAATACATATCTGATTAGCTGCAAACAGTATTGTGTTGTTAGGGAGAAGGTCAGGATGATAAGTTACAAGAATGTTCATTTAAGAACGTTTCTGTTCTTGAGTATTGGCAACACGTTTTTTTATATACGATGAATCACATTTACATTGGGAAACGTTGAAACATTTATAGAGACATATCATTTGTTAAGGTACAAATTATAACGTACACATTGTTCCTTAGTTCTAACAAAAAATGTCTAACAAAAGAAAATTCACTTTCAGTAGAACAAGCATTTCCCATTATGTGCCTTTATTCTATTTAAGGGTCACAGTCAGTCAAATCATGTGAAAAAAAAATAGAAAGAACAGGAGATAGGGACATTTAAAGTGGAAGCAGTTGAAGCGAAAGTAAAATGCATTAAAGCATTACAAAAGAAAGCTCGGGAGAAGTGATTTTACAAAGAGACATTCTGATTAAAAGCAAGGTAGAAGGGGATACATGTAAAATTGTAAATGGCCTTGAGGCAGGATTACCGCTAATGCATCTCTGTTTTGTTGGACAGGTTGTTCTTAAACCCTTCGACATCCCTCTGTGTCCCTCCACACAGGTGGCTCATTTAAACTTGTTTAAGTTATAGATGTTCAAATAAAGCTGAATGGGATAATGAACAGAGAGCTCAGACTGAGGGCGGGGCAGAACATGGGCAGGGAACACTTTCATCGTTACAGAGAGAAGCCAGTGCAATTACTGCTGACCGTTTGCTCCTGGAGCTGCATCTGAAGCACAGACTGAGCGTCCTTTGTGTCTGTGCATCCCACTTCAGTCAGCTTTCACCCTCATCTCTGCTAGAGAAGGACTCTGAACGAGAGTTAAGAGCGGGGGAAATGATGCTGGCATCTTCTTCAATAGACAGACGGACAAGTTGTCAAGGTGTCACCTGTACTATATTTTTAAGAGTGATGCAATTCACAGGTATATTCTCCTGGTCAGGGTATCTTTCTTGCATGGAGTTTGGTTTCTACTGCAGCTACACCTGTTTCAGCATTTAACAGCACTGTGTTAGAATAGCTTAAGGAAAGTGAGATGTAGGTAGGGATGGGTATCGTTAAGGTCTTAACGGTACTACTACTTTTATCGATACCGCTTATCGATAAGGTCCTTTAACGGTACTTTTATCGGTTCTTTTGAAAAAGAAAAAGGTAGACTAACTAAACTAATTGTGAACAAAATTAACATTGCTTTTTATTTAAATTAAATAAATAATATTTCACTTCAAAAGAAACAGCACCAGGGTTGTTGTTGTCCGCACAATTCCCTCCCAGACCACCTGAGGACTCCACAGACCACTGACGCCTTCAGGAAAGGCTTAAAAACCTTTCTTTTTAAAAAGGCTTTTGATTAAACTTTTGTATATTTTGTTTGTTTTTATTAGACCTCCTGTAGCACCTTTGGATTGCTGTGAGCAATGAAAGGTGCTTTATAAATCGAATGTATTATTATTATTATTGTTGTTACTGTTTCATTGTAGCTGAAACTTTAACAGACCCGGTGCATTTCTCCGTCTGAATGTGGTGCACTTTTGCAAGATGTTTAGACAAATTGCTCGTGTTACCGCCCTTACATGCTAAACTCTTATTGCACTTTTGGCAACGAGCATTGTCCACATCGAGACGGGTAAAGTTTAACCACACTTTGGAGCGTGTTTGCTCCGCCGTGTGTGTGTGTGTGTTGCATGCATGTAGCAGCCGCGTGTGCCGTGTGTGTAAACTGCCCCGCTCCCTCACACACAGACGGGGGAGAGAGATCTCTCGTCTGGATTGTAAAGATCGGAAATACATCATAGAAGCATTTTTTTGTCTTTTTGCGTATTAGAAACAACATTTACGACACTAAAAAGATAACGTCGGAGCTTAACAGTACCACAGTCTTTAATAATTCAGCCCCGGGGCCCCTTTAATACCACTCAGTACCCATCCCTAGATGTAGGATCTTTGTATTGCCACTTTTGCTTTTAAACCAATTATACGCACATTTTTTACACAGTATGGATCTGCATGACAATAATCCTAGAGGTATTTGGTCAATTATAATTTGTTTAAATAGCTGATAGAAATTAGAACAACAAAATAATTGTCATCATGTCAAATAATGTTTTTAAGACTTTTGAAATATTGATTCAAGACAATTGTATACATTTGAAGCATTACTTTCTAATTAATAAATAAAATGCTTTTTAAAAGGATCCGCTGCAGCTCTATGCAAACTTGTCAGTGAACAGTGCAATGAGAATAAATGGTAACTGTCAAAGAATATTTCTGTCTTTACTCCTAGATATTTAACCTATTCTGTGTGTTGACATTTACGACCAACCCTGCTTCTAATCTCCCATAAGGAATGTGATAATGCAGTCGTATGTTGATACTACCAGGTTTTATGGCCTAACCTAGCGGGCACAGGGGGGGTTTTACGACTGTGAGAACGCTGGCTTCTAAGCACCACAGATGTGAGAGACATCCCCTGTGTGTCCAGGTGTTTACGCCCATCCCCAATATGTGGATTTGACTCTCTGTAAACTAGTTAAAGGGTCTACCAAGATGCGAGGCTGATCAGATTTGACATGGCAACCCACCCGTGCAGTCAGAACCTTTGACTGTGTGACTTGTGATGTGAATTTCTCCGGCTGATACTTGTATTAAAGATCCGTGTTTGACATCAGAACTCCTGCTCGTCCCGTGTCTCCTTCATGAGTCGGTGACTCCCACTGCATTGCTACACAGAAGTTTCCTCCACAGTTTCTTGCCAGGGATTTCACCGAAGATATATATGAAGAAAACTACATTAAAGTGAACTATAATAGAAGTTGCTTTCCATTGTGCAACACTGTGACCGATATACTTCTGGCCACACTCGTATATTAAATAGGTAGATGGAGCTTTTCTTGAGATGAGATGATGTTGAGATAAAATGTTATTTCCAGAACCGTATTGAACGGCAAAGTTTGTTACTTACACACTGATATCTTGTGGTGATTGTCTTTGCTAGGCAACATCTTTACACCTCGAGACTTAAGTTCAGTCATCTTCTTAACTGTGGAGGGAAACAGAGCAGAGACGTATAAGACAGCAGGAAGTGCAATAATGACACCCACACATTACAGCAGAGCCTAAATGTCTGCAGCAAATACACTATATAATACATCATGTTCCACACATCACTGCAGACATGTTATCAGCAGTTTGGACAATTGCAATTAAGCTAAAAAAAAAGGTTCTGCCAAACAACAAATTACCTTAATTTTGTACTTTTCAAGAGATCTACAAATGCATAGTTTAACACATACAGTAGATGAAAATAACTAAACAATGTACATTCTCTTTGCATTCGTGTAGATAGAAAGTTACAGGGAATAACACTATTATTACATTAAGAAGGTAAGAGAGAAAGGGTTAATTAGGAGAAGAAACACAGTATACTATAAAATGATGAGGTAAAAAATATGTATTTTAATGATCAGTGCTGAGAAGAAAAAGTGGAAGGCTCATCTAAATGCATAATGAATCCGAAATTAAAAAAACACTCAGCATTGTCTATGTCCCACTCATCATATTTCTTACAAAAGAACGTCACTTGTTTTCCATAAATGTTTGCTTTGCTCAGTTGCAGCTGCTTGGCAATTCAAAGCTTATCTGAGTCATGTCTCAAAAAGTTTGTTTGAATATGTCTGGAAGGAAGAATCATAATGCAGAAGCTTTTCAGATTGCAACCCTGATTAGAAAAAGGTATTATCAGATTTCTAGTAAGAGGACTTGGGTTGAGGCTATTTCCTGTACCACGCAAATTTAAAAACACTAGAGAAAAACATATGAAATAAATAGAGCCTAAGAGGATATTCAACAGAGAGTAATTTCATTACTGCAATATGCCGTTGAAGCACGGGACCTGTCATGATGAGAATGGCTGGTGGGAGGTGGGGGATGGGAGAGTGTTTAATCTAATTAAAGTGTTAGCCTCCCACTTCCCTATGATCTTCTAAACATATGTATCCACTATTAAACCTGTAAACCCATAGGTTCGCCGCCTTGTCTTTTCCATATTCTTCATCTATCGCTTCCTCTCTTTCTCCTTTTTATCCCTTCCTCCTCCTCATCATATTGTCTCTGAGATCTCCAGCTAATGGCTAGCGGTGAGGTTCTCAGTTATCACCTTTTCTGTGGAAGAACTAATCATCTTCCCCTGCTCATATTTTCTAAAATATTACCTCTACTCTGCCAAAATGTGTCAAATGATTTCACATGCAGCGGGTAAATGGTAAATGGACTGTACTTATATAGCGCTTTATCCAGTCTTTACGACCCCTCAAAGCGCTTTACATACTACATGTCATTCACCCATTCATACAGAGCAGTGTAGCTTACTCTAGGAACTAACATTCATACACCGTTGGCCATGCCATCGGGAGCAACTCAGGGTTAAGTATCTTGCCCAAGGATACATCGATATGTTGGCTGTACGGTTTGGGATCGAACCCACAACCTTCTGGTTGAAAGACAACCGCACTCCCTCGCAGCCACAGTCGCCACTGTAGGTAGTTTGAAAACTTGCAAACAATATAAAGAACATTACGATAATTTAAGAAAATGTAAGCTCATTTGCAACTGGGAATAAGAAGACTGATGTGATTTACTAAATTAGACTTGAACACATTTTATGGAATTCCTGCTTGTGTCTTGAATGTGTGCAAAAAGGGATCTCACTAAGGTACAGTTCACCCCGAGTGCTCAGTCAGAGGCATCGTGCCTCTTAGACTTTGAGTGTCCGATATGGGAAAAGTATGACTTTTTTCAAGGCTGTCAGTGACTAGATGTTTGTTATTCTTGTATAAGTAAAACCTATATTCACATTTGGCCACCATACATATTCAGATGTATCCTAAAGGGGACTCAGAATATCCAAATCAAATATGATGAAAATTCAGTAATTATTTGCTGATCTGTAAAGCTGGGACACATTATGAATGATGGTCCTTTTAAAACATCAAAACCACTCTTCATCTTACCTTGGTACTGGGCGCTGAAACCTCTCAACTTGTGGTTGCCGTCAGAGGTAAAGTGCAGCCGAAGCCAGTTCTTGCTGCTAATGATGGGTGAGGGAAGGTTGGGGCCAGTGAACCTGTAGGCAAAGAAATAGAGAACAGAGATTAGCATGTTAGCACGGTTGCGTTTTAACAAGCAAACATGAAGGCCGCACATTGAAAACTGCAGTTATACCCTGTACATTTGTAAGTGTATTTAAGGTTAAAGGCTCGGTATGAACCATTGCCATCTGTAGCATCAGTTGAAGCACTGATACACTTCCTCAGTACATTGCAAAAGGAGAAGCAATCAGTCTGTTTTGGAAAATCTCAATGTCCCTTTATTAATGTATCTTTATATTTGTTAATTGTCTAGTTTTCAGGGCATAGCCTCATGGACCGTATATGTTGGGAGTCTGATGTTTTACCGTTTTAGGTAAATGATATCCTGTTGTACGAGTAACTGATATTAATGCACACATAATTTCTTGAAAGAGTCATATTTTACTCAATCTATAAACGTCCTTTGCAAGAAGTTTTTGAGCTTGATAGCGATTCTGTTTTGGGCCATAAAGCAATTATGTAATCCATCAGATTTCCAATAAAGTCAAGTCCAATGGCAGACTATATATTACCAAGGCTCGCAGAACCTGCCAGTCTTTCTGGTGATTGTCTTGTTTGTTTATGGTAATTATACTAATGTTTCAAAGTTAATGTGGCCTTTACTTAGAGATGGTAAAATGTTACACCTTTGAGATCTATTAAAGGGAGGGTCTGGTACTCAAGGGGAACTGTAATGTTAACGACTCTTAACCAAACTGTGGCCCAATAAAAAATGCGACCGGGAAGGATCGGCATTGGCATTTGCACAGAAAGGACCCTCCTTTTATTACTTTGAAAAACCAATCGTGAATTATACTCCACAAACACTTAAAGTGCCTCCTGATCTGTATGCTAATGAGGGCTGCTGCTTACAAGGCACTTTTTCAGTTGTTAAAGTAAAAGCCATCTTGAGACACACTAACACAATCTCAAACACACACGCTCATACACATGCAAACAGTGCGCATACATTCCAATTGCCCACCTGTAAATGACATTTCCCAAACTGTGTCCACCTCATCTCCCAAACCTAAATACCAGCATCCCTCTGTGGTAGTTTCTGATTAAACCTCCGACCAGCTCTCATTAATACAGCGGAATCAAGCAAAGAAAAGTGAAAATGTGATTAAATAATGTAATAATACTGAGAAAGAGAATGGAGAAAGGGTACAAGACACATTTTGGAAGCTAATAGCTATTCTTCTTTGAATGCAAAAAAATTGTTTGTGTACTGCCGCTGGGAAAAAAGAATAAATCTGCTTTAAGCATACAGCTCCAACAAATAAGACAATGAGGAGATACTTAAGTCTAGTGAAGATGTTTGGTGGAAATACGTGTCTGCACTGTAGAGCTCTCTTAGGATCAATTAAAAGCATACAGCGGTAGAGATGTAGACAGATGCTTTTATTTTTATGAAAACAGAGCACTTTTCGTTTATAAAGTAAGCCCCTGCTGCAGTGGGGCCCCGGCTTCACTATACAATAGCTTTACGTTTTAGTGAAGGTGAACACAAGGTCACCTGAAGGCTCGGAGACTGTAGGAATGTAAAAATAAGTTTCTAATAGAGTTTTGAAGAACAGGCATATCGAAACCCAAGGGAGAAATAAGACCGTGATTTAATAACGGCATATCAAAACGTCAGTGATTTGGCTTTTTCAACCACACTGCACACAGAGAGATGAATGGAGAGTATGTCACAGATGAAGCTAAAGTGTTTCTCCCGTCTCCCATGGCAGCCAATCTCCTCGCTTGTAAGTCAGTGACACCAATGACCTCAACCCTCATTTAAGAGATTTCCACTGAAGCAAACTTCACTAATCACACAGTGAAATGTTGGAGACTCAAAAGGTTGAGGCCAGAATCTGGAGCACGGTTGGTTTTGACCTTGTGTCCAAAACAGGTGACGTAGCTCCTTTGTAAACATCAGAGGCCTTGATTAAAAAAAAGTGGGTGTTTAAGGTGTAAGTCAAAGGTGAGTATGTTTGTCTGTGCTGTCTGTGTCTTTATGCCACAAACTCACCTGCTTAAGCTTATTTTGGGGCGAATGTTCAAACTAGTGTAAGGTTTTAGTACTGCACTATAATATTATCTTTTCACTCGACACAAACTGCTTTTTCTGCTTCTAATAATTCAAAAACAACCCAAAATTCATGCACCAAGTTGATTAAACCTGAGAGAGACCTATAATACACTGGGCTTTAAAAGCAATTACATGTAAAGGTTTCATGAAATGGCTTAAGGTATTATCAAAGTGGTATTTTATAAATAACAATAAATATCAGAAAATCAAACATATTCAATCACATATAGTCTCTGGTGTTTACTGGCCTTCTTGCTTCTTTTTAAATGTATTTCTAAACATGTGCATAATTAGGTTATTTATCTGATCAGATGTGTTTCTCCATTTTAGTATGGCCTGGAGGCTGCATGGTGTAATGAAAATGAGGCGGAAATGTAAAGCTTTGTTGTACAACCCTGACCTTGATTTACAACAGCAAGTGCAAGACTGATAACGTGAGTCAGACGCCTCAGGAGATGTTTTAGTTTTATCACTTAAAGATGAAGCATTGAGGGGGATCGTGCAGTGTCTGGCACACATGTGTTTGGAGTGCTACTACTAGGATGGAGAGTGCCAGAATCACCTCTGGCTCTGAGTACATAGCTGCAAACTAAATCTCTCACAAATGAATTACAGTGTATGATCCACACTGCACACAAAGGCCTCAAAACGCCAGTGCCAATATTTAAATGCAAAAGCCCTGTTAGTGTTCCTCCCCTCGTTCACCTTAGGGACACATAAACATGTCCCTTTGAATTAAAGGCCAGTTCCAAACATAACAAGCAAGTTAAACACCCACTTAAGAGCGGGATAAACTGTGGCAGAGCCAGAGGATAAGGAGCTGACGGGTATGCCATTACGGATTAGGAGATTAATAAATATGGGATAAGGGTTTAAAAGGCTACCATAAATATCATTTTGACACCTCTGCCTTTTACCATTTCACTGTTCCCCCCTTTTTGCTGAAAACTACTCCCTTTTCACCTCGCTCTCTCTCTCTGGCCGACCATATTCGATTTTATGTGGAATTGTCTTGAGAGCGCAGAGCTAAACCAGTTTCCATTTCCAGGTCCCAAAGCTCCTAAGTCTGACTCAGACTTTTGATGATTGTCCAAGGAATGTATGTAGGGCAAAGCAAGGTGATAGAGGCAGCCAGTGGTGTTGATGACTGAGGGGAATGAGCTCAAAACCATTCACTGACCCACAGAGCTCTCTGAGAAACAGCTAGGCTTTGATGCAGCTCTTTTACATTGTATTCATAAAATGGTTGGACAAGATGAAATGGATATGAAATGGTTTAACAGCTGCACACACTTAATAGGTGACATCCTATTTGTGAGTATCTGAAGTTGGAATTGCTAATCCTTGTTGCTCAAACTTGTCTTTTCACTGTCATATCATGATTGAGGGTTTTAGGGCCAGTCAAAACTCATTTATATAACACGGGCATAGAGATACTTTCCATACTGATGAGATGTGACTCATTCAATTGTTAATGCCTTTCAGGATTTTGAACAAAGGTCATTGTCATCATGCAATTCAGCAACCTTTCCCAGTGGAATGGGTCTATGTTCTGCTTTATATTCATCGTTTCATGTCGTCTGTTTTCTGTTTGAGGGGCAAAGGTGTCAAATTACTCTTTGCATAATCAGTGATGGGCGGAGTTTAGGTGTCAAAGGTGACTAGCTCCACATTAGGATCAAACGCTTTAAATGACCATTCAAGTAATGAGTTCATTGTGAAGAAGCATCAAATGACCATATGTGTTCATGTGTAGATGCTTGCTTGCGTGCAGAGGGATGAAGAACGTCCCCATTAATAGCAGCTACTTAGGTAGATCAATCAGAGCTCTGCTCAGTATGCAGGTCCTGCTTACAGCAGAGCGGGGGTCACAGTGACTTTAAGCCAAAACTTTCAGCATTTTAATGAGGCTATGTGAATTATAGCACAGGTCCGTTTATCCAGATGTACATGCAGGCACACAAACACACACTCCAAACATTCACAGTTCCAAACAAGTAGGTGGATATCAATATATATTTATCTTTACCTCTCTCTTTCTCGGTCATACTTTCTATTGCACACACATACACACACTCTGAGGTAAAACTAATCAGTGTTGAAGACCCTTAAGACCAGGAAGGCAGTATTAAAGCTGTGGCAGTGGAGCTGTGACCTTCAGATGAGAGCAGACACACACTGGGGGATTAAATGAACCAGCAGAGCCCCCAGCTCAAAACAACATAGACCCCCTCAACACTGGTCATTTCTTCAAACAGCAACCACCCAGGCAGTAAAAACTATCAACCCTACAATAGAGTTAAGGCAAAAGTTTGAAGAGAGGCCTTGAAGGTAGATACAGTATGTCTCATGGGTCGGTGGTGCATTGGACTGAAGCTCTGAGGACAGAAACAACGTATTTTCAGAGGAGGCTGAAATCTCCACTGGCCAAGCCATCAGCCATCAGAGCCAACATGGCTAATCTTTCCTTGGTCCGACAGAGCCAAAATGTCTGTTCTTCATCTGCCCCTGTCAGCCCACATGTTTTATTCACGAGGGACCTTTGGCCCTATCGGAGAACATTGTTAAATCTTCTGAGGGATTGTTTTCTTCCTCTTTCCACAACTAATGTTCTGCCTTCACATACCATATAATGCTGATTGTAGGAAATGTCCTTTAGGGAAGAGCAACACACCAGCCTTAATCTTGGCTCCCTTCCCTTATTCCTCGGTACATCTGCCATATGACCTTCCCATGATCCTGAAGAGTTCATAAGTAACCGTCAAACACTCCACCTCAGTCACGATAAAGATTTATTTTCAAAGACGGGATAATACAAGGGTGACTGCATATATGCCCTTCCTATTTTAATATCCATGCAAATTAAAAGTAACCTTATTGGCTACTATGCCATGCTGTTTCATTTATTTCACCAAA